CAACCCACTCCAGTACTCTTGCCTAGAAAATTCCATGGATGGAGGAGCCTGGTGGGCCACAGTCCATGGGGTTGCAAAGAGTTGGTCATGACTGAGCGACTTAACTCTCTTTCTTTCTTTTTTTAGAGTTGGTTTGTTTTTGAGTTATAGTTTTCTTTTTTTTAAAAAAAGTTTCCCCCAAGTTTTATTGAAATATAACTGACATACAGCACTGTGTAAATTTAAGGTGTATGGCATAATGACTTGCATACATCATGAAATAATGATCGGAAGAAGTTTAGTGAACATTGGGACTTCCCTGGTGGTCCAGCAGTTAAGTCTCTGAGCTCCCAATGCAGGGGATGCTGACTTGATCTCTGGTTATAGGTCAGTTGGTAAACAATATGCCTGCAATGCAGGAGACCCTGGTTCGATTCATGGGTTGGGAAGATATGCTGGAGAAGGGAAAGGCTACCCACTCCAGTATCCTGGCCTGGAGAATTCCATGGACTGTATAGAACATGGGGTTGCAAAGATTTGGACATGACTGAGTGACTTTCACTTTCACTTGGAGAATTAATCCCACATGCTGCAGGTCATGGCCTTAAATAAATAAATAAATATATAAAAGAAAAAAATGTTTAGTGAACATCCATCATCTCATATAGATAGAAAATAAAAGAAAAAGAAAATTATTTTCCCTTGTGATGATAACTCAGAATCCATCATGTTGTACATTACATCCCTAATATTTATTTATCTTATAGCTGGAAGTATGTACCTTTTGACTGTCTTCATCCACTTCCCCCTCTCCCTACCCCACTCCCTCTGATCTCTCTTCCTATGAGTTTATTTGTTTTGTTTTGTTTTTGGCGGTACCACAAGGCATGTGGGATTTTAGTTTCCCGACAAGGGATTGAACCCAAGATCCTTGCAGTGGAGGTGTGGAGCCTTAACCACTGGGCCACCAGAGAAACCCATGTTTGTTTGTTTTGAAGTGTAATTGACACACAGTGTTAAGTTAGTTACTGGTTTACAACTTAGTGATCTCATGTTTCTATGCATTAAACAATAAACACCATGTGGTGACACTGTTTTAAAATATTCCATCATTCTTTCTATGTTTGAGTGAAGGAGTGAAGGAGGCCAGCTTCCCACATCATATCCTTTTGCCACCTTGACTAAGAGGCCAAATTCTAATGTTTTAAGTGAAATTTTGTTTATTAAAGTACCCCCTAAAAAAAATAAGTACCCCCTGAGCCTACTCCTTACACACACACACACACACACAAAATCACTTGTCAATTTAATGTTTATCCTTCCAGATTTTTTTATGCCTATTCCAGTGTATGTGTGTGTTGTGTGTGTTTTATATGGGCTATTTTTTAAAAAGTCAAGCCCTGGGACCTCCCCAGTGGTCCAGTGGTTAAGAATCCACATTCCAATGCAGGGGATGTGGGTTTGATCCTGATTGGGGAACTGAGATCCCATATGCCATGGGGGCGGCTAAGGCTGCACACCGCAGCTACTTAGCCCACATGCTGTGAGGAGAGAAGAGCCTGCCTGCCACTACTAAGACCTGATGCAGCCAAACACATGAATAAAAGGAAAAAAAGTCAAGTCCTATGGTGCTTGTTGTTTGTAACTTGCATTTTTCATTTAAGGTATGCTCTGATTATTTGCTTATCTCCTTACGTATTCCTCATCATCACTTAGGAGTATTTTGGCCTCTATATGAAGGTGATGCAAAGAGAAAAGCCAGGCCATGTTTTCACAATCCAAAGAAACCTACGTGACTGGCCTCTCAAGCCCCCTCATGTCCCCTCTCAGTCACCTCATTTCTGTATTTTATTTTTTGGCTGTGATGGGTCTTCCTTGCTACACACTGGCTTTCTCTAGTTGCCGTGAGCAGGGGCTGCTCTTTGTTGTGATGCGAGGACTCACTGGGGTGGCTCCTCTTGTGGAGCACAGGCTCTAAGTGTGTGGGCTTCAGTAGTTGCAGCACACGGGCCCCGTAGTTGTGGCACACGGGCTTAGCTGCACCTTGGCATTGTGGGATCTTCCTGGACCAGGGATCAAACCAGTGTCCCTTACCTTTCAAGGTGGATTTGTAACCACTGGATCACCAGGGGGAGGCCCTGTCCAGACTTTTAATAGCAGAGTTTAATTTCTTCTCTTCTCTTTGCTATGTCCTATAACTGGAGTAACCAATTTGTCTTCTTTTATGTTCAGTTTCTTTCACTCAAAACAATGTATGTGAGATTCCTCTATACTGTTGACCGCATTCTCACTGACATGTCAAATAGGATCCATTGATTTATAAACAGGTCAATATTTTTAATTCTACTCACTTATATACTAATATATTGATGGATATACAGTTGACTTACTCATTATTCTGTTGATGGACATTTGGATGGTTTCTGGTTTGGGGTGAGTATAAACACTTGAACCTCCTGAGTATATTCATCTGAGTGGAATTGATGAGTTGTCTTCAAGATATGGATCCAAGTGGTTGTAACTTGTTCACCTTTTAAATTTTACCTATTCTTGTGGATGTGGACACCATTTCTTTTTTTAAACCCTTTCTTTTCTTTTAAAAAAGTATTATTTGGCTGTGCCATATTTTAGTTGCAGAATGCAGGATCTTCAGTCTTCACTGAGTCATGAGAAATTTTAGTTGTGGCTTGTGGGATCTAGTTCCCTGACCAGGGGTCGAACCTGGGTCTCCTGCATTTAAGCCACCTCCTGCTGATAAGCATTGTGGTTTTCGGTTTTGACTCTCATAAACAATACAGTGATGAACATCCTTGAGCACCCTTCTTTATGCACTTGTTAACTGACCCCCTAGCAATCACCTTTTTGGTTATTTTCAGTTTTTTGGGTTTTTTTTAGGTACAAAATAACACTAGATACATATCAAATCTATAACCAAATGGACCTACAAGATAACACAGGGAACTATGCTCAATATCTTGTAATAACCTATAATGAAAGAGAATGTAAAAAAGGAATATATATGTGCCTTCCCTCATGGTCCAGTGGCTAAGACTCCAAGCTCCCAGTGCAGAGGATCTGGGTTGAATCCCTAGTCAGGGAATTCCCATATGCCCCAGCTAAAGTTCCCACGTGCCGCAGATAAGACCTGGTGCAGCTAAATAAATAAAATAGCACAAATAAATATTTTAAAAAGGAATATAGATATGCATATATAACTGAATCACTTTGCTATATACCTGAAACTAATACAACATTGTAAATCAACTATATTTCAATAAAAAAAATTTTTTAAAGGAATAAACTTCCTTGCACATTCATTTTTTGGACTTAAAATTCTTTGTTTTTGGTGTTTCATTGTTAATCCAAAGACGTGAACATGGAGGATATTCACTGACAGTTATAGCCAAAAATGCCAATTTTTAAAAAAAGATTTATTTATTTATCTGGATGCACTAAGACTTAGTTGTGGCATGTGGGGTCTAGTCCCCTGGCCAGGGACTGAACCCAGGTCCCCTCCACTGGACATGAGAATTAGTCACCACATTAGCTACTAAACCAGCAGGGAAGTCACACAAAATGCCAATTTCCCCCCACGTCCCCCAGGTTCCAAAATGCCAATTTTTGATGGTGGCTTTACCCTACTCTTTGACCTGATGGGTATTTCTCTAGTTTTACCTCTGAATAAGTGAACTTTGCAATAAAAAAAGGTTTTGTTTTTTAAATAAAATTTAGGTTTTTTTTGTTTGTTTTAACATGTCTTCACTTTGGTCTTGGGGACAGAGTCCGCCCAGGGCAGTGTTGCTGCACGTTGCGTGGGATGAAGGGCTGAAGGCTGCTGCTTCTTGCAAGCTGGCTTCTGAGATTGCACCTTCTCCTGCTCCTCATCCAACTCTATGATCTTCCAAGGTATGAAGTCTGTGGTTCCAGCCAGAAGGGGGGACTCCTATAAAGTAAGTGTCTTATGCTCCAGGGCTGCCTGAGTGAATACTCTGCACTGGGGTACTTCTGAAATCTAGTCACCTCTTCATTTTTTCCTCTACCCAGCCTTCCATCTGTCATTGATCTAGCCATCATCTATGTTATCCCCCATCTATTTACTGATCCATCCAGTCATTCATCAATCCACCTCCTTTTCATTGATCTCTTTACCAATTCCTTTACCTTTCTTCATTCACTCACTTATTTATCTACTCATATTTCATCTATTCACCCACCCACTCAACTATCCTCCCTCCCTCCATCTATCCAATTATCCTCTACACACACATTCATCCATTTATCTGTTTACCCTCTCATCCATCCATCCATGTATCCATTTCCTTATTTACTGATCTGTTTGCCAATTCATTCATCAACTTCATTTACTCACCCATTTTCAACCCAAACTCTTTTATCTGTTCCTCCAATCGATCCAATATTCATTCGTCCACTAATTTATCCATTCAGGATCTAGTCATCCATCTATCTTCAATCTGCTCATCTACTCATTTATAGCCAAGCTAGCCACTCAGAACATTTACCTTTTCACAACTGGGAGCCCAGGCCCTGTGACTGAGATGAGGCCACAGAAATGAGTCGGGCTCGATTCCTACCATCTAAGAATTCAGAATACCATCAGTCAGTGGGAAAAAGCAAATAACACCAAGCATACAGACACAGACAGGGTATTTCCAAAACAGTACGATCAGTGCTGTCCTTATAGTATGTTCCAGATACAGAGGAAAGGTGAGGAGCAGGTGGGTGGTCAGGCATTCAGGTGAGACCGTGCCCTGGGTGCTGACGTCGGAGTAGCCTCAGGATGATGTGGCCTGGGGACGAAAGGCCACCCGGGCATGTGACTGGGAAGGAGTCTCTGCCAAGGAGAGGAGGAAGATGGCAAGATGCCAGGAACCAGAACAAGTAGTTTCTGGGGGGTGAGTACCCACCTCAGCCAGGAGGCCTCCTGCCTGCACCATGCTGCTCCCTGACCACCTCCCTACTGCCCCCCGCAGGCAGAGCTGACCCACCTAGGAACCAAGACAATGCAGCAAGCAACACAGCTACAGGTGTCCCCCAGCGGGCAGAGCTCCTATCAGTCCATCCCCAACTTCCAAGGTAGAGTGGGGACACCGTGTTCACAGCTACAGATGTCGCCCAGTGGGCAGAGCTCCCATCAGCCTGATCCCAGTCTCCAAGACAAACCGGGAACACTGCATCCACAGCCCCAGCGTGAACCACCTGCCTCCAAGGAGACCCTTCTGGAACAGCCTGACAAGGACAAGATGGTGGCTCGTCGTATCCCTCGCCTCCGGGCTGTGGTGGAGAGCCAGGCCTTCAGGAACGTCCTGGTGGATGAAATGGACATGATGCTGTCCCGCGCAGCCACGCTCATTCAAGCCAATTGGAGGGGGCACCGCCTCCGGCAGAAGCTCATCTCCCAGATGATGGCGGCCAAGGCTATCCAGGAGGCCTGGCGACGCTTCAACACCAGGCGCCTCCTCCGGTCCGGCAAGACGATGGAGAAAAGAGCGAAGGTGGAGGAGGGGGACATCCCTTACCACCCGCCCCAGCAGGTGCGGTTCCAGCATCCCGAAGAGGGCAAGTCCCTGCTGGCCCAGCCCACCATGGTGAGCAAGGAGACCCAGTTCCCTTCCTCCGACAGCCTGGCCACCTATACCCACCAGCTGGCCCTGCTGCAGTCTCAGGGCATGTCACCGCCTGGGACGTGCTCTGTCGGAGGCCCCAGCGTCACCTTCCTGCCACACCAGACAGTCGCCATCAAACTTCCGTGTCCCGTGAGTCTCGAGGCCAAGTGCCGCCCATGCCTGATGACAAGAACCGTCAGAAGCACCTGCCTCGTCCAAGTGGAAGGGGACACAATGAAGACCAAGCAAATAACTGCCAGAGCCAACAAGGCGGGAGCCATGGGGCCACCACCATCTGGAAGGTGCGCCCAGGCAGTTCAAGGACAATTCAAGGCCCAAACCCAGGCCCCCATGGAAGCAGAGGTCCTCAAAATGCTACCCCAGACAGGCCCAGCGCCTGTGATAACCAAGACCCTCTCCCAGCCAGGGCCCACTTTGACCATGACCAGAACTCCCTTCCAGATGTACCCGGCGGCCACGATAGCCAAGACTTCGCCCCAGGCTTGCCCAGTGCCCATGGTAACAATAGCCAAGACCCCACCCCAGATGTACCTGGCAGCTGCAATGACCAAGATCCCCCCGCAGACGTACCCAGCAGCCCCCATGACCAAGACTGCGGCCCAGATGTCCCCAGCGGCCACCATGATCAAGACTCCCCTCCAGTCGTGCCTGGCAGCCATGATGAACAAGACCCTACCCCAACCATGCCCAACGCCAGCTGTCACAATAACCAAGGCCCCACCCCAGGTGTACCCCCCAGCCCCAGTGGCCAAGATCCCCCCTCAGACGTGCCCGCCAGCCACAGTGAACAAGACCCCACTCCAGTCATGCCTGGCGGCCGTGATGAGTAAGATCCAACCCCAGCCCTGCCCAGGGCCCATGATAACCAGCACCAAAACCCCACCCCAGCCCTGCCCAGTGACCCAAGGGACCAAGACCCCAGGCCCCATGCGACCAACAGCCTCCATGACCAACACTCCACCCCAGACGAGACCGCCAGCCGCTCTGACGAAGGTCCCACCCCAGCTCTGCCTGCTGGCCTCGATGATCAAGTCTCCAACTCAGACACGGCCTGCAGCCACAGCGACCAAAGTCTCGCCCCAGGCGTGTGCAGTGCCCTTGCTGACCAAGATCCCACCCCAGACGCGCCCAGCAGCCATGGGGACCAAGGCCCCACTGCAGACGTGTCAGTTGGCCACAGTGACCAAGACCCCATCTCATCAGATGCTCCAAGGAACCTCGGTGGCCAAAACAGCTCCTCCCCAGACGCGCCTGGCAGCCATGATCAACAAGACTCCCGCTCAGTTACGCTCAGTGGCCACCATCCTCAGAACCCTGTGCCTGCCCCCGTCAGCAGCTGGAAACCTCAAGCCTCCGCTTTCAGCAGCGGCGACAGCTGGGATTTCCGACACCTCATCCCACACGTGTCTAAGCGGACCAAAGGCCAGGGCCACGGTGAATGTGAGACAGGCGACAGGTGTTGTCAAGGTCTCGTCCCGCTCCTACTTGACAGAGGGGAAAGTGAAATGCTTTCCCCCATCGCATCTGGGGGCTGTGGCTCCTAAGCCTGCAGCCAGGCCTCCTTTGGAAGGCGAGAAAATCAAGGCCTTCTCCCAGAAGCAAGTGAAAACGGAAACCATGTCTGACACCAGTATGGCCATGGAAATGCCCGGGGATCTGACCTGGGCAAAAGTGGCCAACGACAGGAACAAGCGGGCACAGCTGAGGACGGACGTCTTGAAGGTTCAATCCCAGCTGTATGGGCCTGCTAGAACAGCTGGGCTGCCGCTGAGCACATGTCTGCCTCAAGCGCAGCTGGCCCCTTGTTCAACCACAGGCTTGCCCCAGGCCCAGCTGCTGGCCGAGCTGACTAAGGCCCTGCCCCAGGAGCACATGTCTGCCAAGCTGACCAAGGCCCAGGACCCAGGACACCCAGCGGCCCAAGCCCCCACAGCCGTGGCCCAGCCACACCTGAATGAGTGTCTGTCCAAGACGCCGTCCCAGGCCCACCTGCCCGCCAAGCTGGTGAAGGCGCAGTCCCAGGAACAGCTGACCACAGCAGTGATCAAGGTACAGTCCCAAGGGCATCTCCCCACGGGATTGACGAAGACACAGTCCCAGGCCCAGCTGGTCACAGACACAGCTAAGAGCCTCTACGTGGCCCACCAGGCTGCTGAACTCAGCAGCAAGACACAGTCGCAGCCACTCCTGGCGGGCTTCAAGTCTTCCACCCAGCCCTGCCAGCACATCGGCACTCTGCCCCGAGCCAAGCCAGAAGACAGACTGACCCAGCTCCCATCCCACAGCTATGTGCAAGGCAAGGCCACCCTGGGCCTGCGCCAGGGGGCCTCTGAGACCCAGAACATGCTGGTGCCTCTGCTGGCCCCTGCTGGCCACACCACGTGCAACGCTGAACCCTGGGGGGACAGTGGGGCTGCCCGGGCCCAGCCGTCAACCACCGGCGCACCCCCACCCAGCCAGGAGGAGCTAGCGGCCTCCCAACTCGCCTCCCTGTGTGCTGATCTGGCTGCCGTGCTGGGCTCCCAGGAGGACCTCCGCGCCCTGCTGGCCAAAGCCCTCTCCCAGGGGGAAGTGAGGGCGGCCCTGAACCAGGCTCTGTCCAAAGAAGTCTTGGGAGCCACGATGGCCAAGGCCTTGCCCCAGGGCATCCTGGGCACGGTACTGGTGAAGGCGCTCTCCTGGGGCGAGCTGGGCACCAGCCTATCCCGCGCACTGTCCCAGGGTGAGCTCACTAAGGCCATTCAGAGCAGACTGGCGGATGTGCTTAGCAAGGCCCTGACGGAGGAGGAGCGCGCCACCTTGAGCCAGGCCCTGTGTCAGGGTGAGCTGGGTGCAGTCCTCAGCCAATCTCTCTCTCAGGCAGCCCTGAGGTCTGGAGTCGGCCTCCCCAAGGCTGCCTCAAAAACGGTGGGAAGCGGGATGACTGTGATGCCGGCCCCGGTGGAGGTGGACTGCAGGGGGAGCCTGTCGGCCGCGTGGGGGCCCACCTTGGGCCCCATGAGACTACAGCCCAGCAAGGTTAGGGTTCCTTGGGGTGGGGCCTGGGAGGGTTTTGTCACAGGCTGGCCCTTGGGGCTCTTGGAAGAGAGGGGGGATGGGGCCATGCTCGGGGGGTCACCCTGCTCATCGGTGGTCTCTGTAGGTGACTCCTCGATTGCTAGGGTGATCACCATTCACCAGCATCCCCCTATTTCTGCCCCGGTTCCCACTCTGTCATGGGGGACGGGACCTAGCAGAAGCCTCTTACATCTGTACCTGACCCCCAAGGTCTGTGAGCAAAGAGTGTGCCTACACCCCAGGGCGAGGGAGTTGGCATCAGCTCTCGGCCCCATGGTGAGTGATGTGGACCCCAACTTGCCCAACATGCCCCACCAGCAGCCGCCCTCCAGTCTGTGGCAACCACTCCTTGCCAATGGCGTGGGCCCGAGCACCAGCCGGCCGTCACTGGCCACTGGCAGCTCAACCACAAGCGCCCACAGTCCACACGAGGTCAGCAGGGTGGCCCCACATGCAAGGGCATCTCCAGGGGAGGGTAGGTTAGCCCCGGGCCAGCTTCCCAGCACCGCCGGTTGTGGGAGGGGCACCCATTCCTACAGCTGTACCGCCAGCTATGGGGGGCCTGTTTGCTGGTGTCAGCCCTCGAGGATCAGCAGGGTACCCCCCTGTGTGGGCCAACCCCAAGGGGCCAAAGTTCCGCAACAGCTACCTGTGGTCCCCAAGGAGACCATGCAGAGAACCCAGTCCCCGAATCATAAACGAGCCTTCAAGGGCCCTAGGCAGATGACCAAAGAGGCGACCCCAATTCCGCCACAGGCCTCCACAGTGAGCAAAGCACAACCGCATGCCCCCAAGGCCTGCGTCATAACCCCAGGTCCCTGGCCCAGCCCCATGGCTCCTGGTCGTTGCTGGGCACCCAAGCAACGGGGTCAGGTGGATCCCAGTCTGTTCAAAGCCTCCCCAGGCAATAAGCTGACACCCACCCTTTCCCGAACAGCCATCCCCGGGAAGGAGAAGAATCAAACACGGGGTAGCCTTTCCAGGGCACATGGCCCACAGGAGCAGATAACTGGCTGTATACTTAGTGAACTGCTGGCCAATATGCCACAAGGTCCAGACAATGACCTGTCCAGAAGCTTCTCCCAGGGCTCCACAGACTACGGCCTAAATATGAGCAATTCCCAGAGCTCACTGCGCGGCTGCAGCTCACTCAGCCTCTCCACCACGTCTAAGGCCAGCATGGCCGCCACTGACGTGGTGCAGGAGGAGCCCTGGGAAGCCAGTCTGGACAGGGACTTTCATCTAGATGCTCTCCTCTCCGCAGAGGCCTTGGAGAGGTCCCAGGGGCCCAGGAATGTGGAAGAGACTGAGGGAGCAGGTCACGGGCACCTGGCCCCAAGCCTCCATGACCAGTCTTTTGCAGACTCAGAACAGATCCCCATTCAACATCATAGCTCAGTGGCCAGTCGCATGACGTTGAGTGTCCACTGGGACTCAGAGGATGAAGAAGACATGTCCTCAGATCAGAGTTCCATGAACCTGAAGGAGAGTTTGTCTCAGGCACCCTTTGGGACTGGGTTGACCAGAAGTTTGTCATTGAGCAATGTGTTCCCTACTGTCTATCAGGAGCCATCTGTGGCTGGGAGGCTGACCTCGTGCCTATCTCAGCCTACAGTAGCCAGTAAGGTGGCCCCAAATCCAGGCCAGCTCTCTATGGCCAGTAGAATGACCAGCAGCCTATCTGAGCCGTCGGTGGCCAATAAGCTGACTCCCAGCTTAGGCCAGATGTCCAGGACCAAGAGGGTGTCCCTCAGCCTAGGCCAGCCACTGATGGTTGGTGGGGTGGGTCCCAGCTTTTCACAGCCGTTGATGGCCTGCAGACTGGCCCTGAGCCTAGCCCAGCCACCTGTGACCAGTGGTGTGGCCCCCAACTTAGCCCAGACATCTATGACTGGTGGGGTTGTCCCCAGCCTAGGCCAGGCATCTAAGGTTTCTGGGGTAGAGCCCAGTCTAGCCCAGTCACCTGTGACCACTGGGGTGGCCCCTAGCCTAAGTCAGCCATCTTTGACCTTTGGAGTATCCCCCTGCCAAACCCAGCCATCTTTTACCAGTGGGATGGCTCCTAGCCTAGGCCAGCCTTCTATGACTTGTGTGGTGCGCCCCCGCCTAACCCAGCCATCTGTGGCCACTAGGGGGACCCCCAGCCTGGCCCAGCTACCTGTGATCAGTGGTGCAGGTTGTGCTATGAGTCTGCTGAGTTGGGCCCCTAGGGTTAGTCCAAATTTACGATCATCGAGGGTGAATGCAGTGGCTCCCAGTCAGCATCATTCATCATTTGCCATTGAAGTCACCTCGTGTGCACCATATTCATCAGTGGCTAATGGCATGGGCCAGGGTCTGAGCCAGCCAGCCGTGTCTGCTAGGGTGGACCCACGTCAAGATCCTCTGGCGGTTAGAGGGGTGGCCTCGCATCCCCAGGCCCCTGAGTTCAGCCAGGCGGCCCTGGGCTTTCATCAGCTGCCTGTGATCGGTGGGAGGCACCCAAGAGTAACTGAACAACCTGCTGTCATCATTTCAGCTCCAAACCTCTACCAGGCACCTGTGGCCAGTGAGGAGGACTCTTGTCTAGGCCAGGAAGCCAGTGTGTCTCTGTTCAGGGGCATGTCTGTGAGCAGATCCCAGGGCGCCATAGCCTCCGACACGCTCCCAGATATGTCTCGGGGGACTCTGGCTACTGGCATGTTCCTAAGTATGTCTCAGGTGTCCCCTGGCAGATCAGGGACTGTGGGCCAGGGCAGTGTGGCTACCGCACTGGGCCCAAGCCAGTCTCAGATGGGCAGGGGCATGGCCCCCATGACACCCCACGCCCCTGCGGCCGCTGCCCCTTTGACTCGTGAATCGGCCTCAAGGGTGGCTCCTCACTTCTCTCAGGCTTCAGTGTCCGGTAGACTGGATGTGAGTTCGTCTAAGTTTTCCGTGACCAGTGTGGGCCCCAGCATATCTCAGGTCAGCGTGGATCTTCCAATATCTCTGGACCACCAGTGTCCTTCTGTGTCCACAACCTCCAGCAGTTACCAACAAGCTGATGTTATCAGCCAGGAGCCTGCAATGGGCATACCCAGTGCTGTGGTGCCAGGCTCTATGGCAGGTAGGATGACCACAACTGTGGCCCCAGGTTCTATAGCTGGTGGCATGGCCTCTAGTCTTCCCCCAGGGTCCATGATCAGAGGCATGGACCAGAGCCTTCCTCCAGGGCCAATATTGAGTTGTGTGGCCCCCAGCCTTCCACCAGGTTATGTGGTCAATGGTGTGGTCCATACTCTTCCCCCAGGGTCTGTGATCAGTGGCGTGGGCCTGAGCCTTCCCCCAGGGTCCGTGATCAGTGGTTTGGGCCTGGGCCTCCCCCCGTCTGTGATCGGTGGCGTGGGCCTGGGCCTACCCCCGGGGTCTGTGATCGGTGGCGTGGGCCTGGGCCTTCCCCCGGGGCCTGTGATCGGTGGCGTGGGCCAGGGCCTTCCCCCGGGGCCTGTGATCGGTGGCGTGGGCCAGGGCCTTCCCCCGGGGCCTGTGATCGGTGGCGTGGGCCAGGGCCTTCCCCCGGGGCCTGTGATCGGTGGCGTGGGCCAGGGCCTTCCCCCGGGGCCTGTGATCGGTGGCGTGGGCCAGGGCCTTCCCCCGGGGCCTGTGATCGGTGGCGTGGGCCAGGGCCTTCCCCCGGGGCCTGTGATCGGTGGCGTGGGCCAGGGCCTTCCCCCGGGGCCTGTGATCGGTGGCGTGGGCCAGGGCCTTCCCCCGGGGCCTGTGATCGGTGGCGTGGGCCAGGGCCTTCCCCTAGGGTCTGTGATCGGTGGCATGGGCCAGAGCCTTCCCCAGGGGTCTGTGATTGGTGGCATGGTCCAGGGCCTTGCTCTAGATCCCATGACCAGCACTGTAGCCCAGGGCCTTCCTCCAGGGTCTGGGGCAATTGGCATGGCCAGAACTGCGCCTATGAGTTCTGTGGCGACTTCAGTGTCCCCCAGTCTGATTGCAGCCTCTGGCACTGGTGGGGAGAAGCCAGGTCTCGCGGTGAAACCATCAGCTAGTCTAATTGCTCCGGACCTACTCTCAGATTCAGTGGCAGGTGCAGTGGACTCCAGAATCCCTCCTTGTCCTGTGAATTCCAGTGTGGACACAGCATCTGTGCCTGGGGGACTGAGTCAGAACCTAGTTCTGGAGTCCATGGCTAGTACAGCCAGTCCACCCTCCACAGTCGGAGGCGCGGCCCCGAGCCTTCCCCAGGGGTCCCTGCTGATTGGGATCTCTCCTCGTCCATACCATGGGGGCCTGGCAGGGGAAGGGTCCACCACCACCTTGCAGGCATCCCGTCCCCCTGGCCTGGCTCCAGCTCCCCTCCAGGAAGCTCCTGGCACGGCTGGCGGAGTATACCAAATGCCTTCGGTTCTGCAAAGAGCCTCACAGTTGAACCAGGCTCTTGGGGTGACGACGGCATTTGAGACCATAGATCCCAAGACTGTGATGAGGCCAGAGGACCCAGACAGGGCTCCTCACCAGAGGCCCATATCCAGGCAGGGGTCCGAAGTCCTTGAGGCAACCCCATGGATATACCATAGTCCCTTGGCAATGGACACTGACTACAGCCAAGGAGTCCCTGTAGAGAATGAGGCTCTTCCCAAAGACCAGAGGCCGCTATTGGAGGAGGTAGCTCCCAGCCAAGCTAAGTCAGTGCCCAGCGGTGTGGCCTCTGTCCTTCCCCAGTCCCCGAGTCTTGCCGAGCCCTCCACGGTCAGCAGTGGCGCCCCAACCCTGCAGCAGAGGTCAGTGACCAATTTGGTGGCCCCTGGTTCCCACATTGTGGCTGCTAGCCCCAGTGTGCAGACGGTGCCCATCAAGGGCACTGGGGCCCCACTGGCTCACCTGCAGATGCCAAGCTCTCACACTGCACTCCGGAGCCCCTCGGTGACTCAGGTGTCCCGTGGGGTCATGGCTTCTACTGGAGGCTCAGGGTCACCCAGGCCGACCCATGATAATACTGCGGCCACCGGTGTGCACCCAAGGTCTGTGGCTCAGACAGGAACCCCACGCACTTCCCGGAGGTTACAGCCACGTGTTTCACCCCATCCATCCCTGATTAGAAAGATGATGTACAGTGGTTTCCAGAAGGAAGCCATTCCCATCGCACTCCAGAAGACAGCGGCTGATGGTCTGATTCAGAATGGCCATGGGTCCCTTCACCCTAGAACATCCTTCAGGTCCATGCATGCTATTTCTGTACCAGAAAAGCCAGACAATTCTGCAGCTGGGACTGTGCCCTCCAGTCAGGAGCAGCATGATGCCCCCAAGTCCTCGCAGAAATTTCCTAAACACTCCCTGGGTGCACCGCCAGCCTTAACGCCAATAATCCACACTAATGAGCTGGCACACCGCATGGCCAACTCTAAGCAGAGCCCGGGTATTCGGAGGGTGTCTCTGGGTTATGAGTCTTCACCGAGGGGTTCTCGGCGGCCCCTTTTTAGGCAGGAGTCACCGCAAGAGTCTCCAATTTCCCTTAGCTTCATGGCTCCTGCGGAGAGTCTCAGGGCATCCGAGACTCCCACTGACATTCTTGGAACTTCTGTGACTCCTGCTGAGAGTCTCGGGGCATCCCTGACTCCGGCAGACAGTGTTGGGGTGTCCCTAACTCCAGCAGACAATCTCGGGGTGTCCCTGACTCCGGCTGACAGTCTCGGGGTGTCCCTGACTCCAGCTGACAGTCTCGGGGCATCCCTGACTCCAGCAGACAATCTTGGGGTGTCTCTGACTCCTGCAGATAGTCTTGGGGCATCCCTGACTCCAGATGAACATCTTGGGGCGTCCCTGACTCCAGCTGACCATCTCGGGGTGTCCCTGACTCCAGCTGACAGTCTCGGGGCATCCCTGACTCCAGCTGACCATCTCGGGGCATCCCTGACTCCAGCTGACAGTCTCGGGGCATCCCTGACTCCAGCTGACAGTCTCGGGGCATCCCTGACTCCGGCTGACAGTCTCGGGGCATCCCTGACTCCGGCTGACAGTCTCAGGGTGACCCTGACTCCAGCTGACCATCTCGGGGTGTCCCTGACTCCAGCTGACAGTCTCGGGACATCCCTGACTCCCGCTGTACTTCAGGGCCCGGAGGACACTGCCATGTCTGGTGGCCAAGCGTGGAACTCTACCATCCCCAGCGTAGCGGTTGGGCCCAGGGGCAGCACCGTGGCCCCTGGCGGTGCTTGGGAGCCAGCCAGGGGCACTGTGCCGTGGGACGTCGTGGGCAGTAAGGCAGCGGTGGACCCCAGACAGCCGAGGGAGCTGGTGGCGTCGGTGCAGGCTGTAGAGAAGATAATCATCCATGCGGTGGTCATTATCCAGGCATGTGCACGTGGCTTCCTGGTGCGCCGTACCATCAAGGTGTGGCACCAGTGGGCCATCATCATCCAGGCTGCCTGGCGTGGCTACTGTGTGCGGCGGGACCTGGCCCGCCTCTGCCGAGCTGCCACCATCATCCAGGCTGCGTGGCGAGGCTTCGTCATTCGCCAGAGCCGCACCCAGCACATGCTGCTCCAGAATGTGTGGGCTGAGACCGGCAGTGGGGCCAGGACGACGTCTGACCACCGCTGCTTCCAGTCCTGCCAGCCACACGTCTGTGCTCTTTGCCAGTCAGTGACCTCCGGACTAGGAAGCCCACCCAGCGTGGTGATGCTCGTGGGTTCCAGCCCCCGCACATGCCACACGTGCGGCCACACGCTGCCCACCCGGGTGGTGCATGGCACGGGCCGGGGTGCTGCCAGCCAGGCCGGCGTGCCATGGGGCTGCCTGACCCAGTCAACCGCCCGGAGCCTTCAGCGACCCCATCAGACCAAGGCGGCCACAGCCATCCAGTCTGCCTGGAGGGGCTTCGTTGTGCGACGTCGGCTGAAGCAGCAACAGGAAGCAGCCAAGATGCTTCAGGCCACCTGGCGCGGCCACAGCGCCCGGGCCTCCCTGACCACAGACGCGCTCTTGGGGCCAGCGGCGTGGGACAACTCGCGGCACACGCAGTGGCCCGGCGTCTAGGACCTCGGCTTACCGGTGGGGGGACGTCAGGGGAGGGGCCACATGGCTCTCTGGGTTTCATGAATAAAGCCCTCCACAGCCTGGGTCTTGGCCTCCTGTGCTGTGCGGGCGTCTTGGGCATGGTGTGGGGTGGAAATCTGGGGGAACTAGAACATCCTGGACTGGAGGGGTCCAAAACTTTCAACCATGCCTTTGGCACTTGGGGTCTGTGCCTGGAATCGGGACCCTAAGCCTTCCGCAGAGGTCAGCGCTGCCAGCCTGGACTCACATGTGCCATGGTATTCATCCAGGGTGAGCAGGGCGGCATCCAGTCAGTTGTGGATGGAAGCACTCCAGCCAGAAGCCATTGTCTGGGGGGCCTGACTTGGAATGGCCACCATGAGGCCCTTGTTCCTAGAAAATTCTAGAGGCTTCCAGCCACATCCTGACTTGGGGGGATGCTGGGCCAGCCCTCAAGGGGCCCCGGTCTCGGTGAGAGAGAGCTGGAGGCAGATGGGATCAGGGACACGGCAGAGGGAGGGCCTGGGGGCAGCCAGAGGGAGCAGCCTGGCCAAGTGGGGGGGAATGGGGGTGAAAACATGTGCTTGGGAAAGACGCAGAGGGGCAACAGGGTGGTGGCGGCTTCCATGGAAACCAGAAGGGGCAAGGGCGTCCTGCAGAGACGTGTGTGCAAGCTGAGTCACTCGTCGTGTCCAACACTGTGACCCCACGGACCACCAGGCTCCTCTATCCATGGGATTCTCCAGGCAAGAATACTGGAGTGGGTTGCCATGCCCTCCTCCAGAGGATCTTCCCCACCCAGGGATCGAACCTGCAGTCCCTTGAGTCTCCTGCACTGGCAGGCGGGTTCTGTACCACTAGCGCCACTTGGGAAGTCCCCTGAGGGGACAGGCAGAGCGGAAGACTTTCGGGTCATGCACCAAGAGGGTTTGTTAGGAGAGGTGGAGGGGGCCAGGTGGAGGGGGGTAAGTCAGGAATATCTCCCCTGGTGAACAGCGGCCCTCAGATGCCCTGCGTCCGGAGGCCCCGCCTCCGACTCGGCCCTGAACCGTGCCGCGCGCCGACAGCAGGGGGCGCGCAGGTGTAAAGAGCGGGCACCTGACCCCACACCTGTGCGGAGCCGTCTTTCCCCCTCTCCTCACGCAAGAATGGGGAGCTCCCAGCCGCCGCCGCCGCCGCCGCTTCTGTTGCTGGCTCTGCTGCTGCTGCAGGCTTCTGATAGGACTTCCTCTGTTCTCGCGAGCAATACAGGTAAGAACAGGTAAGATCCGGCTTCCAGGAAGCTGGAGGGGGAAATGGCCTCGCCGCACACCTGGTGTGTGCACACCTCCCTCGGGCCACACTGGCCTGCCACCGCCCCCCCCCCACCCCGCCCCAGAGCTGTGGCTCCTCCTAGAAGCAAGAACAGCCGGAGCACCAGCCCCTCCACCCCCACCGCTCACCCCAGTCCTGAGGGTGCCAGGTCTGCCACCCCAGCATTACATGGCTGGTCAATGCCTCCTACCCAATTTGAGGTTCCGTTCCTAATCTCAGTTTCTCTTAGCCAGCTCCCAGAGGGAGAAGGGTGAGAACCCAGCGACCATGGGGATGCACGTGGGAGAAGGGCTTATTTCCTGGTCACTGAACATCTATGGCTCCCAGGGGGAGGTTCTCGGCCCCTGACTTAATTTCTTTCTGTTTCCCTATAAGACGACTCCTGGGGTGGAGAAGAGTTGAATTTCTCGCATCCATGGCTCCCATCCTATCCATCCCATCAAGCCTCTGACCAGCGTCCCAGCCCCAAACCTGGAATATCAGAGTGGAGGCCACCACAAATGAGACTCTTGTAGCAGACGAAAGCTTTACTCAGAAGGACCACATAGCTGAGGAAACTGAGGCTCAGACAAGCCAAATTTCCCAACCTGTGCCAGACCCAGATTAAACCAACTGACTTGACTCATGCCAGCCTCCTGGGCTAGGAGTCCCTGGGCAGAGCAAAATCCTGGCACGATGCATAGACTCAGCCCCATTTTACCTTCTGGCCGACTCTCCAGCAGCTCATGAGTACCCTCTCTGTGCCAGGCACTCAGCAGAGCTGATGTCCTCCACAACCTCCTCTTTCCAGTTTTCCTTAGTTTGCTTTAGAAGCACAACTCCTCAGGCGTCTTGGGGTCCACTGTGGCCTCTGAATCATCTTCATTTCAGCTGAAACCTCCTGTCATCTGGATTCCTTCTCAAAGAATGGTAGGAGACAGTTTGAGGCTGGACTCTTAGTCTTTGACTCCTTGGAGGTTCTGTTTTGTTTTTTAATTTATTTTTAATCGAAGGATAACTGCTTTACAATATTGGTTTCATTTCTGCCATACACAACATGAATCAGCCATAGGTGTACATACGTCCCCTCTCTCTTGAACCTTCCTCCCACCTCCCACCCTTTGCCATCCCTCTAGGCTGTTAGAGCCCTGGTCTGAGTTCCCTGAGTCAGATAGCAAGTTTCCGTGGGCTGTCTGCTTTACATGTGGTAGCGTATATGCTTCCATGCTACGCTCCCCTGGAGATCATTGAAGAGCCTTCTTCCCAGCCACTGTGGGCCAGACCCTCTACCATTCTGAGCCCCAGTCCCCCAGCTGTAAAATGAGGATAAAGTCAGGCCAGTCTCCCCCTAGACTCATCTGTCATCCCCTCAGGAACTGGGAAGCTGGGTGGAGAAACGGGGTCTGCATGTGGACCCAGCCTCCTCCTGGAGCCAGGGCCGGGTGCTATTTCCTCCTTTGTGCTGCTTAGGGTCAGGCAAGCCCAAAGACCCACCCAGGGCAGAGTGGACTGGGTGTGGCAGGATATGGTTGATGAATGAACGTGCAATCAGTTGAGTTTACCAGCAGCCTGCAGCTGGGAAGGGAGTAATTGTGGGAGGTGGCCCATGAAATCTTTACCCGCCCTCAGCCTGGGCCCTGGGCTTGAAGGCAGGGAGCAGCTAGAACAGGTAGCAGAGGTTCCAGAGTCTTGTTGCTCAGTCGTGTCCGACTCTTTGTGACCCCGTGAACGGCAGCATGCCAGGCTTTCCCGTCCTTCACTTTCTCCTGGAGTTTGCTCAAACTCATGTCCACTGAGCCAGTGATGTCATCCAACCATCTCATCTTCTGTCATCCCCTTCTCCTCCCACCTTCAATCTTTCCCAATATCAGGGTCTTTTCCAATGAGTCAGCTCTTGGCATCAGGTGGCCAAAGTATTGGAGCTTCAGCTACGGCATCAATCCTTCCAGTGAATATCTGCTGACTGTTCTTAGAGCTCAGGCCTCAGTGCCCCCATTAAAACCTTGAGTTTAGCCATGGGGACCTTCCAGGTACCTGGGAAAGGAGATTAGGGCCGATACTCTCTGGGAGCTCAGAGGTGGATCTCTGCTGCCCAGCATCACTGAGTATCAGACCTGTGTGATCTCTCAGAGACTCTTTCTGTGATGTCCATTTTACAGATAAGGAAACTGAGTCCCAGACGGGTTGAAAGAGTTGCCCAGCACGCTGCTGGGTTGGCAGCCGTTCCCTGTATCCAGAAGAGTTCTAGAGCCCTGAAGCAAGAGTTGGGGGCGGGGAAGGTCCACCCCAGACTGAAATGCTGGCTGTGGGAGCTCAGATGACGAACTTCAGACATCAGTACCTCAGTTTCCCACTGAGCACTCCCACTGTGCACTCATCCCTCCAAGTCTCCCTACGTGGTGGGTGTTGTCTGCTGGCATGATAGGGAAAGAGGCACCTGGCGGGTTGGGGGCGTCGGGCCAGGGTTGTATACCTTTGTTGCTAATCATCTGCTTCCTATACCCCAATGGTGTTTTCCTTCCAGATGCTTCAACTGCAGGGACAGAGAGCCTGCCTTCCGTATCTCTGACTTCTCCCTCCAGCTACAGCCCCTCTACTGTTGGGGAAAACCAGACCAGCTTAGAAAACGCAGAGTCAGGCTCCACAGCCCATCCCAACAGCCCTAGTTCAGAGTCCACAACCTCCCCCAGCCCCTCAGATTCAGGGACAGCCTCCACCACCCAGCCCACCTCCTCCCAGCCAGAGCCAGACACCCACCGCAGCCCTGGCTCCCCCAGTTCAGAGCACACCGTCGCCTCCCCGTCCAGCGCCCTGAGCTCTATCTCCGTGGCCACCCTGCCTTGGAGTTCCACTCACCCCAACCCCAGCACGCTGCCTTCCTCTGTGTCCATGGCCACCACTGACCGGACATCCGAGACCTCTGGTTATGGTGAGTATTGGGCCACTGGGCCTGTAGGGGGATGGAAAGATTGAAGGGGACAATAGAAGGGGACAATAGAAGACGAGATGGTTGGATGGCATCACCACTCCAATGGACATGAGTTTGAGCAAGCGCTTGGAGCTGGCGAGGGACAGGGAAGCCTGGAGTGCTGCAGTCCGTGGGGTTGCAAAGAGTGGGACACGGCCGAGCGATTGAACAGCAAGGGGGATGATTGGGAATACCAAGCTGCAGTTCTGGGGTTGGCCACCAGGGGGAAACATAGTCCTGAGAATGTGCTGGGAGGGGCCTCTTCCCCACCCGACCCCCCCACCTCCTCCCATCACCTAAGCCTCTTCAGACCTTCATTCCAAGCACATTTTATTTTTTTTATTTTTTTTTTAAGATAATACTATTTATTTATTTTTTTATTTATTTTTTATTTTTATTTTTTTTATCACAACCATAGTGCAAGGACATTTTATTAAGCATCTATTGTGGGTCAAGTCCTGTGGGAAACGGTTATGTTGGCAGATAGGTTATAAGAGCAGGATAAAGGGTCGAAATGTGAGTGCAAAGGATTTGAAATTTTAAAAGACTACTTGGCAGAGGTCTTAGTTTGAAGGAGGTGAAGGAGGGAACCATGCCGGTACCTAGAGGGAAACAGGACAGGCAGTGAACACAGCATGGGCAAAGGCCCTGGGGTAGGACTGTTCCTGGGGCATCTCAGGTGCAACCAAGGAAAAGTGAGGTGGCCGAAATGGGGTGAGTGGGGTACTAGTTGGGGTGGTGAGGGTGGGGAATTTGCAGTGTGGTTACACAGAGTCCCTGGGGTCCAACAGAGGCCAGGCATTTTTCAGAGGGTCTAGAAAAATCTATCATTCAAAATAATATGTTGTTTCCAAAACGTGCAAAGAAGAGTGCAAACATGAAGTATAACAACGTTTTGCTATAAATTTAATAACATTTTGCTATAAATTTAGTAACATTTTGCTATAAATAAAAACATTTTTCTTAAAGTCACAGGATATAAAACCATCTTTACAAAGTGTCAAATTTTGCACATTTCCTCAGAAAGTCACTGCATTTGGGAACTAAATTTTAGGTTGAATTTTTTTTTTTTTTTCACTTTGCAAGAACTCCCAGAAGTGGCCAAGAATGGAGTGGGAACACAGCAAACAAAACAAATGCCTTGTGGACAAATATATTCAAAAGAAAAGAAAGAGAAAAACAAAAGTAAAAGGGTAAAAAAATGTGCTTGAAAAGATAGTCACAGCAGCCACTGTAGAGGGAAGGAAGCGTCGCTTCCTGAGGAGGGACTTAAAGGCTCTGAGGGGCTTCCCTGGCTAAGACTCTGTACTTCCACCGCAGGAGATGTGGGTTCGATTCTGGGAACTAAGATCCCACTTGCCTCGCGGCACAGTGAAAAAAAAAAAAAAAAAAGGCCCCGGGGCCCTGGTGTGTCGCAGACGCGATCGGCGCCGTGGCTGACTCGGGGCTCCTCCTTCAGCCCCAGGTGACGCTGGGGCCCCCAAGTTGCACCGGAACCCCGGAGTGGTGGTGGCTGTGTGTCTGCTGGTGTCTGTTTTGCTCATCGGATGTGTGATCGCCGCAGTGAGGCGCTGTCACAGCGGGGTGTCCGAGTTCCAGAAGCTGGATGAGGTATCCATGGTGGGGGAAGGCTGGACTGGGTGGGGGTGCCCTCTCAAGCAGGGCAGGCCCCTGCTGCAGAGACTGCTGGTGCCTGAACACCTGCTCATGTGTGTTCCTCCTTCAGGGACTTGTGAGCCAAAGGTCGTCTTCTGCCCATCACACACTGCCATGATCTTCGATCTTTGATGCTGAGGGGGAGGGACTGGGATGAGGCGGGGGCATCTGGCGAGGGGCGAAGCTTGTGGCAATAAAGCCCCTATCATTCCTCTGAGGCATCCTGAGTCATGGATTCATTTGACAAACTTTTTAGAGTGTCTACTATATGCTGGGGTCACAGCGGGGACCATTTCTCCACCCTTATGTAGCCCACAGTCTCAAGAGGGAAGGCTGACAGCAGCCACGTAATCAAGTGATGTAATTTCAGATGGCTGAGGCCACGCAGTGGGGCTGCAGCTGGGTCCCAGGGTCCTGCGTGTCTGGGTTTGCCGAGAGGGCAGGGAGGTCTCTCTGGAAGGTGATACTGTTTTCCCTGGCCATACTGTGCAGCCTGTGGGATCTTAGTTCCCCAACCAGGGATTGAACCCAGGCCCTCAGGAGTGAGAACATGGAGTTCCTAACCATTGGACAACCAAGGAGTTCCCTGGAAGGTGATATTTGTGCTAGGACGTGAAAGAGATAAAGGGGCCGCTGTGGGGAATGCTAGGGAAGGCGTGCCTGGGAGCAGGCACAGCAAGTGCAAAGGCCCTGTGGTAGGTGGGAAAAACTTGCGGTGTTTGGGAAACACGGAGATGAGTAAGGTCAGAGTTGGGTGAGGGAGGGATACATGGAGCACCAGGTGGGCTGCAGGAAGGAGCGTGAGTTTTAGCCAGAACACCGTGGGGGCATTTCCAGGCAGCAAGTGCCAGAACCCAACTTCAGGTCTTTAGGAGGGCAGATCAGCGCGGGGAGAGGCTCTGCAGGAGGCAGGGGCAGCCTGTGCAAAGGCTTGGAGACTGGACAGGGCCAGAAGCGGGCAGAGAACAGGGAGTCAAAACAATTCCCACCCCCCTGCCCCCGTCTTGTGGTCCAGTGGTTAAGAAACTGCCTCCCAGTACAGGGGATGTGGGTTCGATTCCTGGCTGGGGAACTAAGATCCCACATTCCAGGGGGCAGCTAGGCCCTCATGAGGCAACTACTGAACCTGCACATCACAACTAAGGCCTGACACAGCAAACATAAACAAACAGTTAAGAAAACAGCCACCCCACTCCCCCAATCCCTCCATTATCTCAGTCCCCTTTCCCAAGGTCTGAGCCGGGGCATCCTTTCTCTTCCCTCTCATTCTCAGGATGCAAAGCTGAGTTCAGGGCGGGGCAGGCCTGGGGCTCGGGCCCCCTGTGGTTATGGGCTTTTCCTTCTAAGGGGACCTTCCAGGATTCTCTAGCAGCTTGGGACGTGGAAGCTTCAGGCTGGGTCTTGGCCATGTCCCTTGGCCACGATTCAGGTCTGGAGCTGCCCGCTCAGGGCTGGGTTTACTGTGCAGTGAAAATGGGTGGTCAGAGAGGCTGGGGGTCAAGGTAACCCAGTACATGGAGGTGAAACCTGCCCAGGGGAGGGTCACGCTGTGACAATTCTTGGAGGCAGAGGAGACAGCAGGGCCTCCTGGGCAGGCGGCGGGTCTGGTGAAACATTAACTTGTGGCAGCTTGGGGGGTGGCCTTTCCCCTGGCCACAGCGCCCCGTCACCCCAAACCCCCTCCTGGAGGCCCCCAGATCCTGCTGCAGCCCCAGCCCCCACTGTCTGTGAAGTGGGTGGTAACCAGAGGCCAGAGGTCATCAGTCTGCTGGGGCAGCAGAGCGTGACAAGTAACTTTCCCAGAGCCTCCAGGGACCCCCTGAAAGCCCTCATGTTCCTAAAGCCATTCCTCATGGGCTCTGCTGTGAAGCCCGCATCCCAGACCCCAGGGACTGGGATAAACAAAATCCTCCCATCCTTTTCTTTCTGGAGAACGGTTGCTTTACATGTCGTGCTAGTTCCCGCTGTACAATGAAGCGAATCAGTTTTATGTGCACATATATCCGCTTAGGACTTCCCCAGCGGCTCAGATGGTAAAGAGTCTGCCTGCAGTGCGGGAGACCTGGGTTCAATCCCTGGGTCGGGAAGAACCGCTGAAGAAGGAAATGGTATCCTCTTAAGAGGGTGGCAAAGCATGAATCGGTTGGATAACATCTCTGACTCTATGGACATGAATTTGAGCAAATTCCAGGAGATGAAGGACAGGGAAACCTGGCGTGCTGCAGTCACTGGGCTCGCAAAGAATCAGACACGCCTCAGTGACTGAACAACAAATACATATCTCCTGTCCCTCCAGGCCCTCCCTCCCACTCTGCCAGGCCACCCCTCACAGAGCACCGAGCTGACCCCCTGTGCGTTACAGCATCTTCCTGCTGATTACCTGTTTAACACATGGTAGTGTGTATATGTCAACCCTAATCTCCTAATCCGCCCCACCTTCCCCAAATCCTCCATTCTGACCTCAAAACTACGCTTCCCTCTGCCTCTCTGTCTCTCTTCTCTCTTTCTCTGTCTCCATCTTTCTCTTTCCCACTCTCTCTCTGGGTCTGTCCTCTTCTCTCTCTGTCTCCCTCCCTCTCTCATAAGCAAACACAAGAACAATAACTTAACGCCTGCCCACTCCGGGCTCACCCCACCCCCCTGTCTCCCCCCACAAACACAGATGTTCAACACTCCTGTCCACTCTGTCTCACACCATCTCCGTGGCACTTTCACACCTTCCCGGTCTCTCTGCCCGCCACTTCCAGCTGGGTCCTGAGAGTAGCACGTGGGTGTGGGTGTGTCCTGCTCAGGGCTGGCGCTCAGACAGTCAAGGGGCTCCACCAGGGGCGGGGACCCTGGGCTGCCTCTTGGGCAGGCTTAGTCCTCCCTGCCCCCACTTCCTGCTGGGTCACAGGACTCAGCCGTGGCAGTGAGCTCAGACCTACCCAGGCCTCTCAGAGCTCATGTGAGTTTGAGGGGTTCCCAAGTGGTGGGCTGGGGTCCCTGAACTGTCCAGAGCTGGGCTGGGAGCTAAATGGACAGCCCGTGGAGCCAGGGGACTTCTTCCTGAGGGTCCTGATGCTCCAAGGCTGCTGACTCCGGGAGGGAGTCGGGAGGGGCTTGGGGAGTACATGTGGGTGCCAGAGCCGCTGCCCCTGGACAGAGGCCCCTGAGGAAGGCTGGGCGGTTGTCCCACACTGGTGCCAGAGGCCTGGCCCAGGCTTCCGTGATTGAGTGTCTGCCAGGAGAGGGTGCAGGGTGTGGGAGTGGGCTCCCTGTCTAGGGGAGCCTCGCAGGGGAATAGCTGGGCTCCCGGAGTCCAGAGATCTCACGTTCATCTCCCCAGGTTGAAAGACACCTCAGGCTTCCATGAGGCAGAGCAGAACAGTGCCCTCCTTCTCGCTAAGCAAGGTGAGCAGTAGCGGTGGGGCTGTGACTGAGGTGGGGTGGTCTTGTTTGTGCCGTGGGGGTGGGGGTCCCAGTACTTAGGAACACCCAGAGCAAACTGAAGACCCGTTTGCATGTGAGGAGACCGAAACCATGAGAGGCCGCGAGGAGGCTGCTTGCTCCAAGGACCCAGCCCCCGGCTGCAGCCATTGCTTTAGGGGCAGGGGACCAGTGGAGGGGCTGAGGAGGGAAGGCAGTAGGGTCCCCTTGGGTCTGGATACAAGGTTTTGCCCAAGGAAAGGGGGTCTGGGTGTCCTCTGTCCAGGGTGAGGAGGGTGTGAAGCCTCTCACACTTCCTTTCTTTACAGGGCAGGGAAACTGAGGCAGGAGTAAAAGACAGTAGTGAGTGAGGAACTGGGGAGAGGCTGGGCTTGAATCCCAGGCTGATGCCCGAGCGGCTGGTAAGCTCTCTGGGACACTCACACCCTGTGAGCATGTGCGCTAAATCGCTTCAGTCGTGTCCACCTCTGTGCGACCCCATGGACAGTAGCCTGCCAGGCTCCTCAGTCCACGGGACTCTCCAGGCCAGAGTCCTAGAGTGGGTTGCCATGCCCTCCTCCAGGGGACCTTCACATTCCAGGGGAATCTTCCTGACCCAGGAATTGAACCTGTGTCTTTACATCTCCTGCAATGGCAGGTGGGTTCTTTACCACCACCTGGGAAGCCCCTGGGACTCTATATATGCTTGTGTTTAAAAAGGCTAAAATTGTGTGGCTGGAGAGAAGTCAGTATGAGGTGGTCCCAGCAGCAGGCAAGGTCCCACATACCTTACCACACTTAGCCATGCCCCAGCTGCTAGCAGGTGGAGGAGAAAGATAAAGGGGGCTCCAGCTTACAGATGAGAAAACTGAGGCACAGAGAGGTTCTCTCCCCCTTAAGCTGAGTGACCGAGTGAGTTTGAACCTGAGTCTTCGGGACCCTTTTCTGTGCTCTGAACCCCTGTCAACTGAGATGAATCCCCAACTGCTCCAATGGCCCAGGACACTCCCTGGCTGCCCTCTACTGTGGTGTGTGATCAGGCAGCCCTGGTGAACCCCAGCAGCCGGCTCCCTCTCCAAATTGCACCTTCCTTCTCTTTAAAGTGGGGATCTTTGACATTTCCTGAAACCGTCTTTTATAGAATCATGCATTCCACTTGCATGTGGAGTGCCTCCTGCCCTGGGCCTGGGGACATAGAGACTCACAGGCTGGGCAGACAGACCTTAAACCAAGAAAAAGGATAACCTCCGAAGGTGGGTGAATGTGAGTGAGGCTTCCCAGATTGGGCAGGGAGGGCTTCTCTGAGGAGGTGATCTTTGAGTTGAAGAATGGATGTAAAGAAGGAGCCAGCCATGGGGAGAGCTGGGGGCAGGGCATTTCCTATAGAGGGCACAGCCTGGGCAAAGGCCCTGAGACAGGTTTAAGGGAGCAGCTGCGACAAGGCTGATGGTGCTGGGCAGGTAGACTGAGGGGAGGAGGAGGAAGGTGAGAGGCAGTGGTGGGCAGGGCATGTGGGGCCTCTGTGCGGTGGTGAGGGGTGTGGGTTGTGATCTAGGGGTGCTGGGAGCCACAGGAGGGTCAGGAGTAGGCAAGAAACAGATTGGAGGCTAGTCTTAGAGGCAAGACTGGCAGCCAGAGCTAGGGCATATCAGGATTTCAGAGACAAGAGACATGCACAAACCAAGCCAGCTTCTCAGCCTCTCTGCAATCTCTTCCCCATCCCCACCCACCCCCACTTCCTCCGCTAGGCTTTCTGTCCCCACTCCAGCCTCTCAATGAGGAAAGCAATTAGTCTGGAGTGGCCGGTTGATTAATCTGCAGCCGAGAGGCCCAGAGGACCCTCCCCTCCCCCACCTGCAGCTCTGAGCGGTCCACCCTCCCGCCAGCCTCACCCTACCCTCAACTGGATGAGGGGGAAGCGGTCGGGCTGGATCCTGGGAGTCGGAGCTTTGCTGAAGGACCAGCCACCCCACCCACTGCAGGGCTACCGGCTGCTCCCTATAAGGCCTGGCTTGTCTATTTCACCCCAAACCAGCCAACTCCCCACCCCAAAGAGCCCAGATCCAGACTTCAAGCTGCCTCCTCTGGTTTCTCCTGGGAGTCATGTGACGCCCAAATGGAACCTGAGTTCACCAGCTCTTTGGTGCTTCCTCCCAGACCTTCCCCATCTAGGTCGTGGATGCCCCACCCACCCAGAGAACTGTGTGACTAGTCACCCATCGAAATCATGAGTTACCTTTGAATCCCCTTGAACAGCCTATAGCTATGGCCTGCCTCTCAACCACCAAAACATGTCCCAAATCCACTCACGGGCCCCAGGCTGGCGCACGTACCCCCCACCCCCAGATGCTGCCCCAGCCTCTATGCTCCCCCAGTGGTGCCTGCTCCCTGGAAGGCACAGAGGCTCCTTAAAATCATAAAGGGAAGGACTTCCCTGGTAGTTCAGTGGATAAGACTCTGAGTTCTTAATTCAGGGGGCCCAGGTTCAATCCACGGTCAGGAAACTAGATCCCAAATGTCACAACTGAGACCTGGCTCAGCCTAAATAAATAAATAAAATATGTGTTTTTTAAAAACTCATAAAGCAAATGGTGTGTCTTGAGAGCTCCCAATCCACACCCAGAAGCAACACCCAACTCATCACCCCACTCCTGAGGCCCCACATCAATTTCCCACCAACTTACCTCCTCTCACTCCATTCCCACCTCCCCTCACTGTTCATCTAACTGGCCAGCTTGATCCCGCCTCAGGGCCTTTGCATGTTCTGTTCCCCCTGCCTGGTATGCTACTTCCCTAGCTCTCCCCTGGCCTGCTCCTTTTCCTCTTTCCAGTCTCAGCTCAAAGTCCCCTCCTCAAAAGACCCTCAATTACGTCTGAACAACACTGATGGCTCCTCCCCAATCACACTCCCAGTCCCTGCAGTGGTTTCCTTTTCTTCCTAGCACCATAAAACTGTCTTTTTGTATTCAATGAAGAAACAAATGAACATAAATGTGGGCAAGTGATTTTCCCGTCTGGAAATCAGTTTCCTGAAGAAGAGGCAGCTGATGTCTCCATGGGCCCCCCATCCTGGGAGGAGCCCACTGTTTCCGTGCTCTCCACCTTCAGCTTTCCCTGCACATCCTCCGGCTGCCAGGCATCCTCCCTGGGGAACCCAGGATGGAACACTTTGGTTTCTGCATTAGAGTTCAGATGCCCCTGGGAGAGAGGGATGACGTGTGTGTGGGAAGTCAGGTGCTCTGCATCCTAGGAGGATCAGATTTGTGCAAAGAGCTGAAGGGAGAGTGGGGAGCTGAGCCGCCCCCAGCTGCATGACCCTCAGCAGTTCATTTCCTCTGAGCTTTATCATCCTCCTCTGGGACATGGGAATAAGAGGGACCACCTCACAAGGAAGGAAGTGAACCTAGGAGAGGTTCAACTGATATCCCCTTCTCCTACATTCTTCCCCATCCCCCTTTGCCCTGGCTCTGGCCCAGTTTAGCTTTCTGTTCTTGGCCTTCAGGGCTTCCCCGGTGGCTCAGTGGTAAGTAAAGAATCTTTTTGCAATGCATGAGCCACAGGAGATGCTGGTTCGATCCCTGGGTTGGGAAGATCCCCTGGAGAAGGAAATGACAACCCATTCCAGTATTCTTGCCTGGAGAATCCCATGGACAGAGAAGCCTGGTGGGATGCAGTCCATAGGGTTGCAAAGAGTTGGACACAAGACTCAAGTGACTTAGTATGCACGCACACTTGGATCTCAGTTTCCCTATCTGAATATTGAGTCTGATGGTGGGGACACACTCACTTGTGTGGTGCAGGGACAGAGCAGGAGGAGGCTGGTTCTGAGCTCTGCCTGCCTCTCCCAAGTTCTCATTTGTGCCTTTGGCTCCTACCCCACGGCAGTGAGTTCCAGTTTTGATGCTACTTCCTGAGGTCAGCACTGCAGACAGTTCCCAGCCTGTGGCTGGCATATGCCTGCTGGACGATTCTGTTTACCCAGAGCACGTTTGCAAACACTATCTCATTTAATTTTTCCTGTTCAGTCCTTCCAACAAGAAACCTCAGAATCCAGAATCTCATCTCCACCATTTCCTTACCACCTGCAACCTTGGGCAAGTTACTTAACCTCTGAGCCTCACTTTTCTTGTTTGTACAGTGAGGATAATTGTACAAAATGGTCTCATTGTGTTCTTGTGAGCTGATCCATGAGGGATCCTTAGAACACGACGTATGTGGAATGAGTGTAGTAGAGTAGAAAGAGTAGCTATTGGTACTGTCATTATTCACTTGTTTATTTACTGCATGTCTTACCTTTATATTTTAATAGTAATAAGACATGCTAGAATACCATTACAGAGCATATTGTTATAATAAATAGTGATATATATATATAATGGTATAAACAATAAATATACTGTATATGAACTGATTGATAAAAAATATTTTTTCAGTGTCTACTGTGGGCCAGGCACTATTCATATCCTGCAAGGTTTGAGATTCACATCCCCATTTCATTGGCGGGGTAACTGAGGCTGAGAGAAGGAAATTCACTGAGGGAAAAAGAAGGACTGAGATACAACTCTCTGCATCAGTCCAGGAATCTGGGCTGACAGAATGTCAGTTCCTGGAAGAATGTTTTCTGGAAGAAACAGAATGTGCAAAGTCTTGGAGTCAAGGGGATCAGGTGCATGAGCTGAACATAGATCAGTGTGGCTGGAAGGTGGAAGGGGAGCCTGGAGAGATGGGCAGGGGCTTGACCGCACAAGACCTGGTGAAGATATCTCAGAGGTTCCTTGTCCCCAGGGTTCCAGAGAGCTCCCATGCCTGGGAACTTGCTCATGTTTTGCTGCTCTCTCCCCAGCCAGTCCGGGAGCTGGCCGATTCTGGCTTGGCCCCCATGAGTCCCTTTGGCAATGGTGTCATCCGGATATGCTTCTCAGGGACCCCATTGCTGCCACCAGTGTCAAGCCGCCTCAGGACCATTGCAGATGTGGAGTCCAGAGCCTGTGTGGTGTTCAACATCGAGGCCGGAGGGAACGAAGTCACGGCCTGGCCCCAGGCAGGTCAGGAGGCTGGTGGGGATCAAGGGGGGCTGTCCCAGGAGAAAGAGAGTGCCTTGTCTCGCTGGACCTTTCTTTAACTTGTTCAACAAGCATTTATTAAGCGCCTACTTTGTGCCAGACCTCATACTGGGAATATAGCCATAGGCATATAGGTGTTCACAGGGTGATGGTGGAGATAGACTCATACTAACTGGAGCGATCAGGGTGATAAGGGAGCCCAGAGGAGGCTTCCAACCCAGCACTGTGGAGGGAGGGGGAGGGGATGAGGAAGGAATGCTAGGAAGAAGTGGTATCTAAGCTTAGCCTAAAGGATGAAGAGAGGTCAGCCAGGAGGAGTACAGAGAGTGGTGGTCTAGTTGCTAAGTCATATCCCACTCTTGCAGCTCCATGGACTGTGCCCTGCCAGGCTCCTCTGTACATGGGACTTTCCAGGTAAAAACACTGGAGTGCAGCATCGAAACACGTATATTATCTAGGGTGAAACAGATCACCAGCCCAGGTTGGGTGCATGAGACAAGTGCTCGGGCCTGGTGCACTGGGAAGACCCAGAGGGATCGGGTGGAGAGGGAGGTGGGAGGGGGGACCGGGATGGGGAATACATGTAAATCCATGGCCAATTCATTTCAATGTATGACAAAAACCACTGCAATGATGTAAAGTAATTAGTCTCCAACTAATACAAATAAATGAAAAAAAAAAACAAAACAAAACACTGGAGTGGGTTGCCATTTCCTTCTCCAGGGGATCTTCCCAACCCAGGGATTAAACCCAGGTCTCCTTCATTGCAAGCAGATTCTTTACCGACTGAGCCAGAAGTGTGTGCCAATTAGAAGAAACAGAATGTATGGAGTCTTGGACTCAAGAGGATCAGCTGCATAAGTTGAACATAGACCAGTGTGGCTGGAAGATAGGAGGGGAGCCTGGAGAGGTGGGCAGGGGCTTGACCACACAAGATCTCATGGGGTATAAGGGGGAGCCATGGGTGGGTTTTCAAGGGAGTGAGTTGATCAGATTGGCATTTAAAAAAAAATTCCCTGTGGCTACTGTAGGGAGCACTGTCAAGAGCAGAAGTGAAAATAACAGGAGCCCAATTAAGACACCTTGGCAGTTCTAGGCAGTAGATAGTGGTGCCTGGACCAGGGTGGGAGACCTTGGCTGGAGAGAAATGGGCAGATCCAGAAGTTATTTATAAAATAGACACACCAGGCTTTGGTGGGCACCAGCAGTGGGTAGAGAGAGGGGGTCTGGTGTGGACAGCCCTGGTCTTTGACCCTTCACATGTGACACTCATTTTCATCCTTGTAACAAAGCCAAGAGATGGGAACACCATCATTATCCCCATTTTCTGGAACAGAATCAGCTTTGGGGAGGGAAAGCAAGAGCCAGCCAGTGTCAGAACCCACATCCCCCACCACTGGACCAAGTTGTCCCCCACTATCAGCTTTGGAGGCCAGGGGACTGAACCAGATGTAATGGACAGAGAGGAGCAATTTGTTTGGCACCACCCAGCAAGACATGGTAGTATTGTAGCTGGGGCTCATTCTGTCTGATTCCCTAGTACAAGCATTTTCCATTCTTCCCACTCGAGGACACAACTAGGGTAGATGATAGACAGTCTTCATGGGAAATATCCTTGAGATGTCCTTGTGAGCTCTCTGAAAAGATCGGAGCTCTTCCTACCTCCAAATCTGTTGCACCAAACGGTCCCAAATACCTCCCTGCCTCAGCCCACACCCACCCTCTTACACCTGCTCTTGTCCATGTCTACTTCTGTTAACTGTGATAGAAAATATGCTCGCCCTCCCTTTGCCACTTCCCAGAAAATTACCCCTGAGATTAGACGGCCTGGTGGGCAGGGCCTTGAGTTTCTAGAACTAGGGAAGGGAGGGGCAGGCCTGAGATTTGAGAGCAGGAATTGTGGCTGTAAGGAGGGGCCCAGGGCGTCAAGGGGCAAATGAGATCCTGCCATTTCCGCTGAGGGTCTGGGCGTCAGTGTGGTTATAAAAGAGTGCCCCTCTCTACCCACCCCAGCCAGAGGCAGCTTCTTGTGTGCGCACCCCAGGCATTGGAGCACCCTTCCATAGCCCTTCCCCATTTCTCGTTACTTCTCCGATTCCTGCCCAGCATGTATGGGGCTTTTAAGATCCCAAAGAGATTAGAGACCTCTGAAGAGCAGAGCCCTTGATTCTGCTTCCAGACACCTCTTTGCTACAGTCACAGGGGAAGGCTGAAGACCCACTACTGCTTTCAGCATTTCCTGGGCCATCAACACCCTGGTCTGGAGGTCTTCCTGAAACCCTGTCTGTCTTCCTGCACCGCCTTCAGAACCGACAGGTCGCGGACAGCTCCTCTCCGTCTCTGCCATTCGGAGCTGCTGAATCTACTACACTTTCAGCATCAGGAGTAGGATCAATGCTTCGGTGCTGGGGGTTTCCAGAGACTCTGTTTCCCTGCTCTCTGTTTGGCTGAAAACGGAAGGACAATTTCTGTCTTCACTCCAAGTCCATGTCTTGAACCTATTTCGTTCGGCTCTAGAGGGGACGGCAGACCATTCTTGGCGCAGGGGTCCTCCCCAGCCTCTTTCTCCAACCCCCACCCTCAAGTTCTTTTTGCCCTGCTATCTACCCTTCAGCACCACCTCGGTGAGGACAGCTCCTCGGGATCAGCCCCACCTTGAGACCCTGTCGCTACCTTTTCCTGCCTCAGCACCTTCCGCGCGGACAGCTCCTCGCTGTCGTCTCCACTCTCGGCTCTGGCCGGGACTTCGGCTCAGACGCTCTTCCCTCCCGGGGACGGCTCTCGAGCCCTGCTCTCCGCTTGCTCCCCAGCTGTGGCGCATGGACACCCCGAGGGTCCAAGAAGGGCTAGAGGCATCCCGCGAGTTGAACTGCGCTCGCAGCCGCCAAGGCATAGCCAGGGCCCCGAAGCACCTGTGGCGGCAGCCCCGGCGCCCCATCCGCATCCAGCAGCGCTTCCACTCAGACCCGGACAAGTCTGTGGGCCGCAGGGAGCGGGACTTGAGCCTGCGGCCGGCCCTCGAGAAGTCGCGGCGCTCCTGGCCCACCTCCTTCCGCAGGCGGTAGGTGGGCGGGGGCGGGGCCCTCCCGCGGAGCGGGGGCGGGCGCGCAGGGCCTGGCGGGAGCAGGGGAGGGTCTTTGCTTTTCCAGCCTGGCGGCTGCGGCCGGCGCTTTAGAGGAAAAGGCTGTTTTAAGCGGGGGTGGAGCTGGGGGCCGGTGGTGTGTGGCCCCGTGCTGCTGCATCCGAGGATGTGTGGGTCTGAGCAGTTACGAATCAATGTGTGCTCCGAGCTGGTGTCCACAGCTGGCCGGGTCTCTGGGTGGCGGGGTGTGCTCGGGTGTGTGTATACCGCTAATTATGCCCTTGTATACCAGTTACGTGCCTGCTTGAGTGTTTCCCCCTGTGTCCGTGTGTGTTAGCGGCTGGGTGTGTCCTCGCTGTGATCCAGTTGGGTGTCCAAGGGTCCTCCAGACCCTGGATTGTCCTCGGGTGTTTGTGGGGTTCGTGGTCACAGAGAACATTTGAGGGGAGCTTGGGCTAGATATACTAGAGGGCCAGGGTCAGCTGTCTGCTGTGCTGGGGGGGGGGGGAGCCTCCTCTGTTGTATATCCTGCCACACACACACACACACACACACACACACACATCCCCTGCTATCAGAGGGAAGCCTCTTGGGGAGCCTGAGCACAGGATGTTTCTTCCAATGTGAGAATGTGGAGGAGAAGAGGGGAGTAGAGGTGTGTAGGGGGCTGCCCCTGATTCATATAAACTGAGAGAGGGGGCAGAATTAGACAAAGGCAGAAGAAAAACACAGAGAAACAGGGGCCTTGGGGGGCCAGAGAAGTCTCAGCACCACCAAAGAGCAGGGTCTGGGAGTCCCAGGCCCTCCTTGGATGGGTGTGTGTGTATGTGTGTGAGTGTGTGTGCTTACACCTGTCAGACTCTTTGCAACCCCCTGGACTACATGTGGCCACCAGGCTCCTCTGTCAGTGGGATTTCATAGGCAAGAATATGAGAGCGAGTTGCCATTTCCTCCTCCAGGGGATCTTCCCGACCCAGGGACTGAACCTGCGTCTCCTGTATCTCCTACATTGGCAGGCTGATTCTTTACTACTGTGCCATTTGGGAAGCCCTTGGATGGGAGGGGGAGCTAAATCTGGCCAGACTCAGAGCTCTGGGTTTGAGGCCAGGCTAGGTGACTTTGAATGAGTCATTTTCTTCTCTAGCATGTGTGCTTACTCGTTCAGTCATATCTGATTCTTTGTGTCCCTATGGACTGCAGCCTGCCAGGCTCCTCTGTCCATGGAATTTTTCAGGCAAGAGTACTGGAGTGGGTTACCATTTCCTCCTCCAGGGGATCTTCCCAAACCAATGATCAAACCCATGTCTCCTGTGTCTCCTGCATTGCAGGTGGATTCCTTACCTGCTGAGCTACTGGGGAAGCCCTTCCTCTCTGGGCTTTTCTCCTATTAATATTTTGGTCCACGGACCTCTCAGGGCTACCGACTTCTTGGTCAACAAGCCTGGCCTAACACCACAGGCTGGCCCTCCAGCAGCCTTGGTTGGTGTTTGGGGCAGCTGGGCCCACAGCCCGCAGAGTTGGCACTTTCCCAGGTGACCCAGCAGGGCCCTTGCCCCCCCCCCCCTCCAACCCCTCAGTTCCTCCTCCCCTCCCTCCCGGTGACTCACGATTTTCCATCTTCCAGAGAGAACAAACAGAAACTAGGTTTGGGTCCCTCTTGGGGGGAGAACCCCGCGGCCCTAGAAGGCAGGAGTGGTGGGCTGTGTTCCTGTGAGTGTGTGTGTGTCCTGCCTGTGCGTATATGTCCACATATGGTGGGAGAGGCTCAGCCCTGGGGAAGCTAGGTTCATGGCTGGTGTTCTGCGCACTTCCAAGCGAGCGTGGTGCTTCCCTGAGTCTCGCTGTCATCACTGAAACGTAAACACAAAAACTCACAGGTTTTGAATTTTGTCAAGCACATTCTGTGCCAGAGCATAGTCCTCAGCTGTGGCTCACCTCCCCACCACCCCAGGTGGGTCACATAAGTCTGGGAGGGTCTGAGCATCTTGTTCAGCAAACGTTTATTTAGCAGCTATTGTGTGCCACACCCTGGACTGGGGACATAGCCCAAGGGCAAGTAGGTGCTCACAGGCAAATGGTAGAGGCAGACATACCAGCTGGAGACCAGACAAGGTGATCTATACTGTGATGGAATGAGATCAGGGTGTTGTAGGGCCCAGAGGAGGCTTCTGATCCAGCAGCTGGGGCCAGGAGGTGAGGAAGGACTGCTTGGAAGAAGTGACATCTAAGCTTAGCCTGAGGATAAAGTGAAGTCCACTGAGGAGTGTAGGGAAGGGTATGCCAAGGAGAAGGAACAGAAAGTGCAAAGTCTCAGACTCAAGAAGATCAGATGTGTGAGGAGCCGAACACAGATCAGTGTGGCTGGAGGGTGGGAGGGGAGGTTCTCTAATCATTTCTCAAGCATTTACTGAGTACCTACTAAGTGCTGGCCACGAAGGGCGGAGGGCGCAATGGGGAAGGAGGCAGACCTGGTCCTTCCCTCAAGGGGCTGCTGGGTGAAAGTGAAAGTCGCTCAGTCGTGTCCGGCTCTTTGCGACCCCATGGACTGTAGCCCGCAGGCTCCTCTGTCCGTGGGATTCTCCAGGCAAGAATACTGGAGTGGGTAGCCGTTCCCTTCCCCAGGGGATCCTCCCAACCCAGGGATTGAACACAGATCTCCTGCATTGCAGGCAGATTCTTGACTGTCTGAACCACCAGGGAAGCCCAAGAATACTGGAGTGGGGAGCCTCTCCCTTCTTAGGGGGATCTTCCCGACCCAGGGATTGAACCAGGGTCTCCAGCATTGCAGGTGGATTCTTTACCAGCTGAGCTACCTGGGAAGGTTTGGTGAGTGAGGCAGACACAGATCAAATAATCAGGACATTACATAGGAAAGTACCAATAAGAGGAGAGTGCTCTGAAGATATTCATTTATTTAGCTGGTCAGGGAGGGCTTCTTGCAGAGGGCAGTGCTTCAGCTGTGACCTAAAAAACAAAAAAGTTAGCAGGAGAAGAGGCTTCTGGCAAGGGCATGGGATAGGAATGAGCCTGGATGCTTCCAGAAAAACAGCAAGGAGCGGGAGATGATGAGCCTGGAGCAGAGTAAGCCAAGAGGAGGAGGCTGGGGAGAAGACAGGCAGGGGTTAGGCTACACAGAGCCTCCAGGGAGGTGTGGATTCAGAAGTGAGGACAATGGGGAGCCACGGGAGGATCTGGAGCAGAGGAGAGTGAGATCTCACCCCTGTGAGCACCTGCACGTGGGACTCAGCCTCCACTCTCCTCTCTCTCTAGATTCTTCAGGGAGACTTGGGCAAGTCATCTCTCCTCCTCAGACCCAGGTGTATTTGTTTGGAAAATGGGGTAACAGCACCCACCTCCTGTCTCACTAGGGTCACCTAGTGGCAGAGGAGATAAGTGCTTGCCCAAGGAAGGGGCTCACTCAAATAGGGGAAATGGAGACATTGATGTGTTAAGGGCGCTAGAGACTGCAGGTCACTTCCCTAGGTCACATAGCGTACAGAGACAAAGTTAGGGTGAGACAAAGTCATGTCAGCACTTCCTTTGGCCTCTGCCCTCCTGGGTGAAGCTTGGAGTCCCCAGGGTCAGGCAGGCCAGGCCTTGAATGCTGAGTCTTGGTTCTGCAGCTGTTTCTCCACCCAAAAAGCAACTGGTAACAGTAAAAGCATTGCTGTTAAAACTGGTCATAAAATATTTAAAGTTGAATCTATTAATGAAACATTAACACTAAAATTATCAATAAAGAATTTAATATCAGAGTAGCATCTGGGACTACACAGGGGATGGCGCTCAGTTCAGTTCAGTTGCTCAGTCGTGTCCAACTCTTTGCGACCCCATGGACTGCAGCACATGAGGGTTCCCTGTCCATCACCAAGTCCTGGAGCTTACTCAAACTCAGGGGATGGAGCTAGTTAAGCATTAAGTTGGGAGAGGCTGGGGAGCCTGCCAACCCAGGCTTGAGTGACTTCAGGCAATAAGCACCCTTCTCTGTGCCTCAATTTACCCATCCACAAAATGAGAATACCAGTCCCCACTTTATAGAGCTGCTCTGAAAATCAAATGACTTTTACACGCACAGCCCTTGGCTCAGCACCAGAAGAGCAAGAAATGCTCAGTTTATTCCCATGTGTTTAGTCTTCACCTTCTATTCTGTGAATTCAGGAAAGGGACTGAATCTCTCTGTCTCCTTGGGGCCACGAGAGCATCCTGAGCCCCTCCCACAGGGCTGGGGGTGGTGTCAAGCCGCCTTGGCCCCAACCCCAGTCTCTCCACTAGGCTGAGCCCGGCGGCCTTTATCCCCTGGGGACCAGCTATAATTAGGTCCAGTCACAGCAGCTACAGATGGTATTTTTGTCTTGGGGACAGAGAGTCTGATTCCCACCAGGTGTCCGGTTGCAGGGCCCTGGGGACAGAAGGGGGTTCCTGGCCAGACCCTTGAGACTCCCTGTCCTCCTGGGCCCCAGCATGACTCCTCTGTGAGCCTCCTCCAGTTTCTCATCTAAACAAGAGGGACCACAGTATGATCGAGATGTCAGGGAAGGGTCAGGGTCTCCCCACTGAAGCCCGATCTCCTGAAATAATATCTCACATCCCCCCAGGACTGCCAGAAACCTGGGTGGCATTTGTCTGGGGACCCCCAAACTGGTGAAGTGCCCTGGAGCAAGGCTCAGGCAGAGGGTTGCTATCACACAGCAGGACACAGTCAAGCCCAGAGCTCCTGTGAGGCCTCGGCTAGGAGGCCCAGCCTCCTTGCACTTGGGGACTGCTGTCACCAGCAGGTGGGTGTTCTGGGTCTCACCTCCAAGCATTCTCACCTCCAAGACACTCCCTGAGACTTGGTTTCGTTTTCTGAAGAATGAGGCAGGGCCACCTGACCCCAGCAATCTGAGAGTAGGCCAGTTTGTACAGACTCTTGAATGCCCCCTATCCCCAACACTAGGGGCGAAGCTTTTCCCTTTTCGGGGGTCCTTCCTGAGGTGGGCTGTGGCAACTGAAGCTTCACTGGGCGGACGGCTTGGCAGGAGTAGAGTGCGGATGTTTGTCCAGTGGAGACAGCAGGAGAGGGGAAAGGATCCAGAGACAGGGCCTGGAGAACATCAGAGCAGGTGGAGGTCACGTGGGGGCTTGTGGAGGGGGACAGAAAGAGGGGGAGGAGACTTGCAGTGAAGACTTGAGTCTGTTTCCACCTTTCTCCAAGCCTCAGTTTCGCCACCCGACAAAAGACTCAAGGATTGTAGTTTCTGAGCAGGCTCTTGGTGGCTCTGGCCTCAGTTTCTCCATCTGGAAAATGGGTAGAGGAGGACTGAAAGTATTGTGTGGGATCTGGGCAGCCCCTTGGCATACTCGGAGACTCCCTGATAACGGAGGGCACTTCCTTTTCCGACTTCCGTATCTCTCTTTTCAGCCCAGCAAGCTGCACCTCTGGGGTACATGCTGAAGGAGGGAAGTGGTCTAAGATGCGGTTTCTGGGCTCCCCCAAAGAAGGGAAGCAGAGAGCCTCGTCTAGTTCAGTGCCTCAGTTTCCCCATGTGTCCCCGTGGGGGCGTCTCTGAGCGGGTCCCGCCGCGAAGGCGGGGCGGGTGCGCCTTGGGTTCGCTCCCCGCCGAGCCCCGCCCCCGCGGCTGTCCAGAAAAGGTCCCGCGCAGCCAGTGCTGCGTCCAGCCTCCACGCGATCTTGGCGATGCAGGGTACCCCTGCTCCCGCCCCGGCCCCTGGGCCCAGCTCCCCTCGGGGCTCCCCGCGCGGCTCCCCCGGGCTCTTCAGGAAGCTGCTGGTGAACCAGAGCATCCGCCTGCAGCGGCGCTTCACCTTGGCCCATCCGCTGTGGTGAGGCGAGACAGGGCCTCGCAGGGGTCATCGGAACCGCCGGGCTGGAGGTGGGAAGGGCAGAGTCAAGGACAGTGGGAGCCAGGTTGGAGGGTCAGGGCATAAAAGCTCTGCTCCTTTGCCCTTTTCTCGGGGTTATGTCTCTGCCCCTGCTCTATCTCTGTCTCTTTTAGTTGATGACTGCCTGTCTCTCTCCATCTGTTTCCCTCCACCCACCGCCTGGATACATGCCCAGGGGACCAGCCGTCTGTCCCTTTCCAGCTGCGTGGCCTGGAGCAGAACGGGCCGAGGCTCACGTCTCCTTCTGACCCTTGCCAACCCGGGGCGGGCGGGCTGAACGTCCAGGCAGTGAAGGGATGAGGGTCACTCCCCGCCTTGGTCTGCGCTGGCCATCCGCCCCAGTGCCAACACCGGGGTGGCCTGGCGGCCTCACACTAAGCCCTCGGTGTCCTTGGGGGAAGGCGTGATTTGATGGAGGCCTTTGAGGCAGGGAGCTCGCGATATAAGCGGGCTTGTTGCATGTCCCAAGCTGAAAGCTGACAGGCGCGGAGCGCCACTTCTGCGCAGCCCCACTTGGTTGCCCCCTTCAGAGACTCGTCCGATCGCTTTGGGTTTAAATTCCGGCCCTTCAAGAAGCCACTGTAACATCGTGGGTTGCGGGGCAGAAGCTGGGGTTGGAGGTGGGGCTGGTGGGCGCAGACTGGGTCTGGTACCAGGCGCTTGGTTCGCGCGGCTTTAGCACTCAACTTGGTAACTTGGCACCTGGAGGCTCAGAGACCAAAGGTCCCTTCTCCAAGGTCACACGGCCAGTGACAGCTGGTGGTGGTGGGGAGCAGTCATGACGGTGGTCCCTGATGGCACCATTTCAGGCCAGAGTGGGGTTCCGGGTTCGGGAGAACCGCCACCCCCCCCCCCCCCCCGCCAGGTGCACCAGCCGCCTGCGAAGAGGGATCCCAGTCGAGGGCTTGGGAGTGAGCTCAAAGGTGTCGAGAACGTCAACGGTGAGGCTGGAGGAGGGCGAGTCTCTCCGAAGCCCCTGTGCCTCAGTTTACCTGTCTAACCGATGGATGGACGCGCCGTTCCCACAGTCCGTGCGACTTTCTCCCCGCCGCCCGCGTCATGGAACCACGGCTTGACCCCGCCGCTCTTGGCTAAGTTTAGAGCACAAAGATAAACAGCGTCGTCCGCAGCGAGAAAACCCCGGCTCAGCCCTAACTCGCCGCACTCGCTTTTGGATTCGAACCCAGCACCCTGTGACCTCTCCTGGCCTCAGTTTCCCTATTTATCCACAGTTGCGCCTTTCCCAGAACATTTGGGAAAAGGAGAGGGAGAGGTAGGTGGTAGCCATTCCCGGGCTTCCCCCTCGGATCGCAGGTTTAGGGTATCCACCGCCAGCAGCCCGCCCCCAAGAGTCTCCGCCAGTCACTCAGCCCGCTCCAAGGCTGGGGAAGCGCAAGGAAGCCCCGCCCCTCCGGGAGATGTCACGAGGCGGGAATTCAGAAGCTCTGGAAGTAGGTACTTCAGCGAGAGCCCGGCTCTAACCGACCGAGAGCGATCGGACACAGCCGATCACTCGAATGAGGCCGGACTAAGCCGAATGTGCCCGACGTGGCTTGAGCGCCACCCCGACTTGCTCGAAAACCTCGTGCGGCCGGACACAGCCGAACCTGCCCGAAAGCTTCCGAACATACCCGAGTGCAGTCGGAGGTAGCCAAATTCGGCCGAACTCACCCGACCGAACTCAGCCGGAAGAGGCCCAATCCTGTAAGACCAGACCCTCAGAGAACCCAGAGCCTTGGGCTTCCCGGTGGCTCAGACGGTAAAGAATCCGCCCGCAATGCGGGAGACCCGGGTTCGGCCCCTGGGTTGGGAAGACGCACTAGAGGAGGGCATGGCATCCCATCCTAGTATTCTTGCCTGGAGAATCCCATGAGCAGAGGAGGCTGGCGGGCTACAGCCCATGGACTCGCAAAGAGTCGGACACGACTGAGCGACTAAACGCAGCAAAGCAAACTGACCTAAGTCAGAGGGAAGAGGCCCAGTTCTGTATGACCGGACCCAACTCAGTCAAACTCGGCCGTTCATGACTGAATCAGGCAGGACCCTGCCGAATTCCTGACCCCCAAGTCGGTCTGAGCCGAATTCCCTGCTCAGATTCTTCCTTCCGGCAGGCGCCGGTCCCAGCCCGTGGACTTGGGGATGGCCTGGCAGGGGACCAGGTGGACACTGGCCCTTGGCTAGGAGCCCTGTGTCTAGGGGCGTCCCCCAGGGTCTTCTGTCTCCGCCTCACCTGCCTGCTCCTTTCTCTGTGACCCACTTGCAGCCCCTCTCTCCTTGTCTCACACTTTTGTTCCCTGCCATTCTTTCTCTGATCCCTCTCACTTCGTCAGAGTGTGGCTGGAGGGAGAGATGGGGCTGAGAGATAGGGGGTGGGGTTGGGGATTGCCTTGAACAGGGGAGGACCGTGCCCTTGGTCAAGGGCACAGCCTGTGCAAAGGCCTGGAGGAAGAAGAGAACAGACAAAGCATTCAGGCCAAAAATAAAGCTGAGGAACTGGGGAGCTAAGGCTGGGGCTGAGTGAGCTGGAGGTGGGGTTGATGAGATGGGGGCGAGGCTATACTGTGGTTTAGGGTGAGGGCCTGGAGCTGGGTAAGGGATGGGTGGCCCAGGGCATAGCCAAGGAGAGCTGAGGGTGGGGCTCTCCTGGCTGTGGGGCGCCTTCCAATGTGCCCCATCTAGGCAAAACCCAGGTGCCCTCCTGAGAGGAAAGCCCAGGAAGTCATTTCCGGCCCCCAAGAACTTACCCTTAGTAATCTGGGTAAGTTACGGGCACCCTGTCGCCCTCCTCAGGTGTTCGGTTGTAACTCCCTAAAAGTGCCCTGGGGATGAAGTCTGCATGCGTGCTAAGTTGCTTGAGTTGTGTTCTACTCTTGGCGACCCTATGGACTGTAGCCCACCAGGCTCCTCTGTCCTCTGTCCATGGGGTTCTCCATGCTGGAGTGGGTTGCTGTGTCCTACCCAAAGGGATCTTCCCAACCCAGGGACCAAACCGTCTCCTGCATTGGCAGGTGGGTTCTTTACCACTAGCGCCACTTGGGAAGCCTGGATGTAGTCTACGATGCCCGTATTATAAACAGAGTGGTTGATGTCCACAGAAAAGCTGTGACCCACACTCACACAGCCACCTGGAGACAAATCCAAAACTCACGTGCTGGAGCCCAGATTAATCCCTGTGGAAAAGACTCGGGTTCAGAGGCAGAAATGGAGGCGTGAGGGGCACTGTGTCTCTTAGTGCGGGTATGACTGTAAGACAGACGGACAAGCTGCAGGCTACTCCTGGCTTGCCCCGGGGAGGACATGAGAAAATGGATTTAGACTAGGATGTGGCATCCATGTGCCAGGACCCTCGGCTCTGACTATGTCTCCCTTGCCTTCAGCTTGGACCTGGAAAATGGGCTCCAGTGTGGGAGAAGCATCCTGGACCCTCAGGCCGGGTCTGGCTTTGGCCGGATCGCTCAGGCGCCTGCGCAGCACAGTCAGAGGCGAGAGTCGTTCCTCTACCGCTCGGACAGTGACCACGAACTCTCATCCAAAACCATGTCTCGGAACTCCTCTGTGGCCAGCGACCTGTGAGTTTGAGGCTGGTGGGATGACACCCCCTCCTACTTTCTTCTTTCCTTTATTCCTCCGTTTCACACACCTCCTTCAGGTGACCATTTGCGCTGGGCTTTGAAGTATAGATAGCAGTTTGCCAGACAACTAACTCACTACTCAGCTGAGCAGGACAATGCTATCCTGCGATCCTTTGTGCTTGACTCCAGGTTGGGGTTGGGTGGTAATCCAGAAACATTAAAGTCAATTAACAGCAACCCAACAAACTCCTTGATTTGAGATTCCTCAGTTCAGTTCAGTTCAGTCACTCAGTTGTGTTCGACTCTTTGCGACCCCATGAATCGCAGCATGCCATGCCTCCCTGTCCATCACCAATTCCCAAAGTCTACCCAAACCCATGTCCATAGTGTCGGTGATGCCATCCAACCATCTCATTCTCTGTCGTCCCCTTATCCTCCCGCCCCCAATCCCTCCCAGCATCAGGGAGTCCAACGAGTCAACTCTTCGCATGAGGTGGCCAAAGTATTGGAGTTTCAGCTTCAGCATCAGTCCTTCCAATGAACACCCAGGACTGATCTCCTTCAGGATGGACTGGTTCGATTTCCTTGCAGTCCAAGGGACTCTCAAGAGTCTTCTCCAACACCATAGTTCAAAAGCGTTAATTTTTCAGCGCTCAGCTTTCTTCACAGTCCAACTCTCACATCCATACATGACCACTAGTAGCCATCATTTCCTGCGTCTACTGAGACCCCTGTTGTCCCTGGTACTCAGATTCTCCATTTGTGAGATGGGGATAAAGTGAGTGATTGGTTAGAGGGGCTATGGTGGCCTTCAGAGAAGCGTCGGATGAGGGGAGACCAGGGACTTCCAGGAAGACATTCCAAGGACGCGTTCAGCTGAGGGCACAGTGTGGGTAAAAGCTGGAAGATGGGGAAGTTTGGGAGGGCTCCTCCTGACCACCCTTCCATGTCCCGTCTCCCCGCAGACACGGAGAAGACCTGATTGTGACGCCCTTTGCCCAGGTGAGTGCGCATCTCTTCCTTCCGTCGTGTGCCAAGCAGGCAGAGCCGACCCCTCTTTTCCAACGCTGACCACCGCTCTCCCGGCAGGTCCTAGCCAGTCTGCGGACAGTTCGGAGCAACGTTGCGGCCCTTGCCCACTTGCAAGATCGCGGGGCAGCCAAGTACGCAGGGGGCGGGGCGGAGGCGGGGCCTGGCAAAGAGGGGCGGGTTCAAAAGACGAGGTGGGCCAAGCAGAGTTGGGCGTGGGCAGGGGGAAGCAGTGTAGGAAGGGCGGGGCCTGGAGGTCTTGGGGGCGGGCCCTATGGGTGGGGCGGGCCACTCCTGAGCCTACTGTACTGCAGGCAGGCGTGCGTCTGTAACACCCCATCTGGCAGCCAACCCCCTCCACCAACAGGTAATGTGCCTACTCCTATCCCCTCCTTGCACTGTGGGACAGCTGCGAACTTCCTCTCTATGGTGACCTCTCCAGTCCATGAATCTTTAAGCTGTGCTAATTCTAAGCCCTCTTCCCCCAAACACCCTTGGGGATGGAGAGAGCCCGGGGTCCTGAGTGGCCTCATTAGGAAGAGCTGCAGGGTCCAGATGCAGAGACGGGGGCAGGAGGGGTGCGGGGTTCCCGAGTGGGGGGTGGGGCAGACCCCTGATCAACTTGGCCCCCAGAAGACACTGGGCAGAAGCTGGCTTTGGAGACACTGGACGAGCTGGACTGGTGTCTGGATCAGCTGGAGACATTGCAGACGCGGCACTCAGTGGGGGAGATGGCCTCCAACAAGGTGAGGGAGGCCAGATGACTGCGACCCCTTGCCTCTGTCCACAGGGCCCCATCATCACTGTCCTCATCTTCCCCTGCAGTTCAAGCGGATGCTGAACCGGGAGCTGACTCACCTGTCTGAAACCAGCCGCTCAGGGAACCAAGTGTCCGAGTACATATCCCAAACCTTCCTGGGTGAGCTATGGTGGGTCACTGCCTAGGCCAGATTGCAGAGATAGGAAGAGGGAAGAGAAAGAAAGGCTTCTACTACAGAGCTCAACTGAGGAAGATAGAACCAGACACGGACACCTCCAGCCCTGTGGGGTAAGGCTGGACCAGAGGGAGGAACAGGAGGATCTTCCAGGAGGAGGGGGACATTAAAGTTAGGGTTTTGAAGCGTGAGTAGAAGTTTGCCAAGGAGGCGCTAGCAGGAACCATGCAGCTGGGTCTCCAGTTTGGGAGATGGAAAGGACATTTGGCTTTCCAGAAAAAATACTAAGCTACAGATGCCCAGAGGCCATGTCCAACAGAAGGGGTTACTGAGATCAACCTTAAACAGAGGGGAAGGGTAGCTACAGGTCAGACAGGACTTTACTCTGAGATTACTTTGATTCAGGTAAAAAGGCAATAAGTTGATCTCAAGGCTTGGCAAGGTGCAGTACCTGAGGCCAAGCAGACTAATGCTAGCAGGTGAACTGACTTTTCTGAGTCCTACCCTGCCCCACCTACAGAGCAGCGGACTGAGGTGGAGTTATCCATGGCAACCCCTGCAGAGCCCCTGAAGCCCGTGTCCCAGATCAGCAGCCTGCGTGGACTTCCCCACAGTTCCAGTCTTTCCACAGCCACTGTCCCACGCTTTGGGGTCCAGACGGATCAGGAGGGGCAACTGGCCAAGGTGGGTTTCCAGTGGGGATGCTGAAACCCAGGTTTGAGTGCTTGCTCTGTGTGGATACCCTATTTTGGGCCTCAATTTGCCCACCTGTATACTGACCAGGTGGGGCTCATGGGAGGACCTGAGGCCTGGGCGGGGGGTCGAGGCTCCAGAGTCTGTGGAAGTTGGGCTGGAGTTAAGCTCCAGTCCTCCACATTTTAGGAACTGGAAGACACCAACAAGTGGGGGCTTGATGTGTTCAAGGTGGCAGAGCTCAGTGGGAACCGGCCTCTCACAGCGATCATGTTCAGCATCTTTCAGGTACCTCCCCTGCCCGTGGCTTCTGATACCCTGTGTCTCCTTCACTTCTTCCTACCTCAGGACCTCAGGGGACACATAGTCCTCAAATCCTCCCTAACATGTCTGAATGGGGTCATTTGAGTAGGGGCATTGAAGGATGGATAGGAGTTCATTAGGTTTAACATTTCATTGCTGACTATCAACAAAACTCAGCCTTAGGCCAGGCCTGAAGAGACCCAGCCTGGAGGGAATAACTGTGTGGTCAGAGATGAGAAAGAGGGGAAGGACAGAGACCACGGGAGTTCAGAGGGAAAGCAGAGAAGGCATCCTGGAAGAGGGGGCACTTGAGAGATGACTAGGGATTCAGAAGGAGAGAAGGCATAGGAATAGTGTGTGCTGCCACCCAGAGGCCGAGGCCCTGACTAGGGGCCTGTGATGGCCCAGGAACGGGACCTGCTCAAGACATTTCAGATCCCAGCAGACACGCTTGCCACCTACCTACTGATGCTGGAGGGTCACTACCACAACGATGTGGCCTACCACAACAGCCTACATGCTGCTGATGTGACCCAGTCCACACACGTGCTGCTGGCCACACCTGCGCTTGAGGTACGGCCCTGGGGCTGCAGGCGGCTCTGGTGGGTGCAGGGCACAGAGACCCTGTCCCTCACCTCTCATGCTCCATGCCCACTCAGGCCGTGTTCACAGACCTGGAAGTCCTGGCTGCCATCTTTGCAAGTGCCATCCATGACGTGGACCATCCGGGGGTCTCCAATCAGTTTCTCATTAACACCAGTGAGTTAGGGAGCTGGGCCCTGCCACCACCTGTCAATCAAGTGATGTTAGGTGGTCCCATACCTGCTCTGAGTCTCCCTGTTTGTGAAACAGCTGCCACAATCTTCCCTCCCTTAGGTGCTCAGAGCAAGCCTAGATATACAGCAGATACCCGATAAATGAGAGAATAATAAATGTGGCAGAGCTGATGTGAGCCCACTGAGATTTAAAGTTTAGGATCCTTTAGGAGGTGTAAGCAATGGTTAGGTACCTCATATATATTAATACATCCCTGGAGAGGTGGAAATAAAGAGTGGAGCCCTGACTCAGTAGTTCATTCAACCAGCACTCAGCACTCTCTCCTGCCATGCTGAGTCTCCAAGGAGTCACCAGTCTCAAGGAGGCAGAGCTGAACACAGATGCCCCCAGCCCTGAAGAACCAGGTCAGGGCCATGGGGAGAGACAGGGTCCTAGAAGGCTTCCTAGAGGAAGGGGGCATTAAAGTCGGGGCTTTAATGCATGAGTAGGAGTTTGCCAAGACTTTACAGAACCAGCCTTTGGGTGGAGTGGGTTGGGTGTGTGGGAGTCTTGAGAGTCTCAAGACTCTCCACCTCCCCCACAGACTCAGAGCTTGCACTTATGTACAATGATGCCTCCGTGCTGGAGAACCACCACCTGGCTGTGGGCTTCAAGCTGCTGCAAGCAGAGAACTGTGACATCTTTCAGAACCTCAGCACCAAGCAGCGGCTGAGTCTGCGCAGGATGGTCATTGACATAGTGAGATCACAGTGATGGATGGGAGGGTGATTTTGGCATGGCTAGGGGTTCGGTTGGAAGAGGGCATCTCCCCATTATGAGCCTGAGCTTCCTGGTTTTGTAAAATGAGACGATGACTGTCCAAGCCTTGGGTGGGACTGATGGCCCTTGGTTAGGCTAATCAAGTCTTGGATGCAATTCACATGCAAACTATGTGGAAACTCTTTCTTTCTGGGAAAATCTTTCTTTCCCAGAAACTTTTCTTTCTGGGATTTCAGGTGCAACTTTATCTGCATTTGATATTTTCAAGTTGGGAGACACCAGTACGTTGTGTGATCTTATGTCTCAAGTCATTTAACTAGCATTTATTGAGCATCTACTGTGTGCTGGCCCTTTGCCAGCGACCATTAGAATTCTTACCTTCATGAGACTTACACTCTGTAAGGGAGATGGAGACACAGGCATAGCCATGATGGGGGACCTGTAGACAGACCCTGTGACAGAGAGGTGTTCAGGGTGGGAGGACTTCCCCAAGAGGGAACAATGAAGCCAGGGCCTGCAGAGTGCAGGGGATCATGGGATGGGGAGGAGTGTTTCCAGCAGAGGGAATAGCATGTGGGGAGGGCTCAGAGGAAACCAAGGCTCCAAGTGAAGAAGAACTAAAAGTTTGGTAAGGGAGAGTGGGAGCTTTGGGCAGTAGGCACCCCCAGCAGAAGCATCATTTGGGCCAGATGGGAGGTTTGGGGAGAAGATTTGAGACTTCTGTCTGATCCTCAGAGAAACCCGTGGGTTATTCCTGGGCTGGGCCTGTAGGGGTACAGCTAAGTAATTTTTAAACAATCATGTTCAAGGCTGAACTTTCTTTCTAATGGCTGAAAACAGCCCTCCAGCCATGCAGCAGCCACAGAGAAGTTTGGGGAGTACCAAGGACACCTGTGACTCCCACAGCCCTCTGGATAAATCCCCCACACCCCCCTGAGGCCCTCCCCACTCTTATCACCCTCACTTGCTCCTCTGTTGCTCCTGCACTCATTTGTTCCAGGCACAGCTGTCTCCTCTGTGTAGCCTCAGGGCCTTTGCACTGGCCATGTCATCAGTGGGGCCTCTCTACTGCCCTCAGGCACACTCATCTCAGCCCCCAGGTTTAATCTCCTTCTTCCATGCCCTGTCCCATGTGTGGGATGCACCCCACAAGTCCAGCAACCTTGGAGAAGGGACTATTGACTCAGCCTCTTTGTGGGCTGGTTTTGCAGCTAATCTCGTTACATGCCCCCATTTCTCAGGTGAGGACACTGGGGCTCAGAGGGTTGAGGAACCGAGTGCGTCCAGCATCTGCGAGGTGGGGAATGGGGATGGGGCAGGCGCTATCTTCATACCTGTCACCTTCCCTCGCCTGCCCCCAGGTGCTGGCCACAGACATGTCCAAACACATGAACCTCCTGGCTGACCTCAAGACCATGGTGGAGACCAAGAAGGTGACAAGTCTTGGAGTCTTGCTGCTAGACAACTACTCTGACCGCATCCAGGTGTGTGGTTGGGCAGCCCTGGGCTGATTTCCACGGCTCTCCTTTAGCTCCATGTATGACGTGCCGACTGAATGCCCAGCTTGAAGAAACAGAGGCACCTATGGCCATGTGCCTTTGTCTTAGCCACCTCTTCCCCTCGCTGGCCTCAGCTTCCCCACCTGTAAGATGGGGGTGTCCATGGCACCAGCCTCTTTAGGGCAGGTACCAGGCCTGGGGGTGGCCTGGCCTGAGCCCTCCCGAGCCTCGATCTCACTAGGTCTTGCAAAGCCTGGTACACTGTGCTGACCTCAGCAACCCCACCAAGCCGCTCCCACTCTACCGCCAGTGGACGGACCGTATCATGGCCGAGTTCTTCCAGCAGGGCGACTCTGAACGGGAATCAGGCCTGGACATCAGCCCCATGTGTGATAAGCACACAGCTTCAGTGGAGAAGTCCCAGGTCTGAGAGTGACTGATTCGAGCTGGTGGGCACTGGGGAAAGGGGAGAGAAAGGAGTGGCCGAGCTGACCCTATGATTCTTGGCTTGACCCCAGGCTGGCAAATGAGGCAGTGTGGCCTAAGGGTCTGCACTGGGCTGGGTCTGATGTGTCCTGGGATATATTCCCTCTGGGATGCTTTAAGAGAGATCTGCACTTACTCGTGGAGTTTGGAAATGCTTGTTCTGGGTGACATGGAGTATTTTAGAAGGGGTCCCAGTCTGAGGGCACATTCATCAGCTCTGAGGAGTCAGGAGTCAGGGCTAAGGTGGATGGAAAGACTTAGGTGTTGGAGAAGCCTAGAAGGGGCAGGGGAGGCGTCCTAGAGGAGGGGTTTTTTGAAGAGGGTTTTGAAGGGTGAATAGGAGTTGGGAAATGGCATTCCAGGCAGAGGGGAACAACCTGGGCAAAGGCCTGCCTGGACTGGGCTTAGGTTCCACAGTGACGCACCATTCATCAACCTCTACCCCCTCAACTTTGCATTACCCACAGGTGGGTTTCATTGACTATATTGCACATCCACTGTGGGAGACATGGGCTGACCTGGTACACCCAGATGCACAGGACCTGCTGGACACTCTGGAGGACAACCGCGAGTGGTACCAGAGCAAGATCCCACGCAGCCCTGAGGACCCCACCAGCCCCAAGCAGGGTAGCCCTGACAGATTTCAGTTTCAGCTCACTCTGGAGGAGGCAGAAGAAGAGGAGGAAGAAGAGGAGGAAGCTTTGGATGGGGAGGCCTCAAAGCCACCTGACACTGAGCTCCTACCCTCTGAGGCCAGCCCAGACCCTGGAGCTAGCTCAGACCCTGGGGCCCCACACCTGGATTACCAGAGGACTGTGGGCAAGCCCTGCATGGACCATGAGGGCAATGTAATGGCTGAGCCTTTGGGCACCTAATGGCCCCTGGTGGGTGGGTGGATTTTCCAGGAAGAGGTCCCAGGTGGGCCCACTTTGCCTCCCAGGGAGACAACTGGGCTTTTTGCTACAGGCAGGTCTCAGGGTTGAATTGGAGGCACCTGACTGGGGTCCACTCTGACCCTGGGATCGGCTGAGAGAGCTCTCCAAGGAGCTGGGCTGGAGGAGGGGCAGCTTCTTCCAGGGCCCTTGAGTTCTCCCTCCTGGACTTCCACCCCTGGTGTAGAAAGTGTCTGCCAGGCACCTTTGTCCATCTTGCCCAGTGGTCACTCTTGAGCCACTCCATCACTTTATTCTTTCATGCTTTATCAGATATTTACTGGGCACGTACTGTGTGCCAGGCCTGTGCCTGTTATGTGCCTCTGGGGTACCTCTGCACAAGGAGATGGGGAATCAGTCTCGAGGAGATGACCCCTCCCTTAGACACCTCCCCTAAGTCTGCCAGGCAGCTCACTGAAAGACAACGAGAATTTGGATGGGGGAGTTCTCAGCACCAAACTTCATCTGGACCCAGTCCTGGCTCTGGAGTTCTGGTGGTGATGGGGGGTGATGGTAGGGGCCAAGAAAGAGAGGGATCTGTGTCAGGAACTGTCTCTGAACATTGATTTAGCCTTCACTGCTTGTGCACTGGCCGTTGCTTTAAGTTGCTGTAGTTTCTCTCTTCAGGTCTAAGGATGCTGGTTCTCCCTGGCCCCAGGGCCTCTGGCTGGCTCCCTCATGTTCTCTCCCTTTTCTAGCACAGTAACAAAAGCACAGAATTCTCCTCCAAGGAAGGTCCATCTTCTGATTCTGAGGCTGTCTAGACTCCCCATAGAGAAAAGGAGGCCTCTGACACTTTCTTGTGAGTCATCACCCCTTCTGGGCCTCAGTTCCCCTCTACTTGGGTAAATTGTGGTTGGAGGGTGATGTGTGTGACCTCCCTGAAATATCTTAGAAATATGGGGCATTTGCTTGGATTAAAATAAACTCTATCACACAGAATTAGTACCGTGCCCGTTTCACGAATGGGGAAACAGGAGCGGAGAGTCTGTCCTGTGGCCTCAGGGCTCAAGGCCATGCTGCCTGCTGGACTGCAGACCTTAGCCAGCGGCGCCCCCTGGTGGCACGAGGCGCAGAGGGGAGGCGGGGAGAATCTGGGGGTCCTCGCCTTGCGGGAAGTCTCTCCGCGCCCGGCTAGGTGGAGTTCATCCTGAAAGTTGCGGGCCTGGCGCGGAGCAGGTGAGGTGGCTGTGTGCTCAAGTCTCAGATTCAATTTTCACTTCCGCAGTCCTCAGTATCTCCCATCCCCCCGCCCCGCTACCCCCCCTGCCTGCGTGTCTGAAGATTTATACATGACAGAAGTCATTACAGAGCAGCCTCTAGCTTCAAGAACAGCTGGCTTCATTCCTAAATAATTTCATTAATAATTCCATTCCATTGATAATTCATTGTCATCACAATTAATCATCTAACTTCACTGAGGGAGAATTAAAGGGCATCTGGATCATGAACTTGGTACATTTCCTTCCAGGCTTTTAAAAGGCAGAGATTTATAGGATTTTTATTTATAATTTTTTTATCCTTCCCCCTTTATTTGCAAGTAATACATGGTCACTGTAGAGAATTTGCAAATAATGGAAACATGTAAGGATGAAAATAAAATTCTGCTGTAACCTCACCCCTAGATCATCTGCCTTCAGCATTTCACCTTATTTCTGTTTTTTTCTCTCCCTCATTCATAAAAACATTCATATGTTCTTCAATTTGGGCCACAGCTATTCCTCCGTCTCCTCACCGTGAACACTATGCATGCTGGCTTTTCATACCCCAAGCACAATGCCACCTCAGGCCCATTGCACATGCTGTGCCTGCCACCTGGAATACTTCTGTGCCTCATCCTCACCCTTTGGGTCTCAGCTAAGCATCCCCTCCTCCAGGAAGTCCTTCCTGACTCTCCCCCTCCCACTCCAGGCTGGCAATAGTAGAAGCTCTCTGGGACTCTTTGCTTTGTTTTTCTACAACTTTCTCCAGACTGAGATCTTCAGACTCCCCCAGAGACTGACTTTGACAACTTCAACAAATCTCTTAACCTTCCTGAGCCTTTGTCATTTCACAGGTGGAATGGGCTTGCTTTGTGCATGTGTGTGTGCTAAGTCGCTTCAGTCATCTCTGACTCTTTGTGACCCTGTGGACTGTAGCCCACCAGGCTCCTCTGTCCATGGGACTCTCCATGCAAGAATACGGGAGAGGGTTGCCATGCCGTCCTCCAGGGGGTCTTCTCGACCCAGGGATTGAACTGCATCTGTTATGTCTCTTGCAGTAGCAGGACGGTTCTTTACCATTAGTGCCCTTTTTATTCTTTCCATTTCACAGAAGTAGGAACTGAAGCTCACAGAGAGAGGGAGGAAGTCACTCGCATGCTCCAGGTCCCCCATTTTCTCCTGTTTAGGGTCTTTCCTGAGGGATACACTCTTTGCCTTTGTGGCCCACCCTAGACCCAAAGGGAAAGGAGAAGTTCTTTAGGGCCCCTGGGAACTTTCAGGCCTTGACTCTAGGACCTGTTTGCCCTCTGTTTAGGAAGAAAATATTGCCTGGCCCCCCTTACAGAGCTGAAGAGGGGCTGTCCCTTGAGCTTATTTAGTGAGTTCCAGCCTCAAGGCCTTTGCACTTGCTGTTCCCTCTGTCCAGAGCACTGTTCCCCCACTTCTCCCAGTGGCCAGCTCCTTTTCCTCCTTCAGATTCCTGCTCAAATGTCATTTCCTCGGAGAGGACTTCCCTAACCTCAATGGCCAAAGTCACCCTCCCTTCAATCATTCATTGAGTCATTGATTCATTCATATCATACCCTCCCAGGGTGCCTACTGTGTCTACAGGTGAGGTGCTAAGACACCCATCCCTGACTCTCAGAGCTCACAGCTGGCTACTGAATAAATGAGTTAGCATGACATTTCTGATGGGATGTGTCAGGAAGGAGAAATACATGACATGATAGGAAGTGACGGGCTGAATCAGAGCTTCCAGAGGGAGGTGGGTGTTTATTGGAGACCTGAAGATGATGAGAGAGCCAGGCACAGGGAGAGCCAGGGAAACAGCTTAGGCAGAGGAAACAGCAGGTGCAAAGGCCCTGAGGCAAGATTGCATCTGGAACCTAAAAGATGGAGTGACTCACCAGAGGAGAAAGATGAGTTAGTGGGGAGGTAGTGGGGTGGGATCTGAGAGGATTTGGAGCCCTTCTCCCGCCTGCCCCCCGCCCCGCTATGTCTGCCAGGCTCATAGGACATCTCCCCTTAAGTCTGTAGCTCCCACCTCCAATTCAACCATCCCTAACTTCAGATCCTTTTGCTGATTCTTAACAATAAAGTCCTTCCATTAGTTTTACTTTTTTTTTTCATTAGTTTTACTTTTAAATACCAAATACCTTTGGGCAGAAGCTGGTACACATTGTTGTGAGCTTTTACCCTTTGGGGGAAAAATAAGTGGGTATTGCCGACTGCTGCCCGAACATGCATCTGGGAGGTCAGGGAGCCTAGCAAACTCGCATGCCTTCACCTCCACCAGGGCAACGGCTGGAGCCCCCCACTCCCCACCCCAAAGCGGGAACTCGACTGCTGGTCTTCCAGTGGGGAGTTGGAGGTGGATTTATATTTATATTTAAAAAATTTTCTCAATTCGCCGCAGTTGGTTTGTGATACTTTTATAGTCCGAGTGAGGAGGAGGGACAAAGATGTTATCCTTTGGAAAAAATAGACTTCCCAACTGCAGGGAGAGCAGGAGGGACTTCTCCGCACTTCCGGGGCGCTGGGGGCGGGGGGCGGCCTCCAGGCGCTAAATTATTCTGGTCTCTAGGCGCCTCTGCAGCTGGTGAGCTTTTTATAAACAGGACCAGCCCCGCCCCTCGTCTCCAGAGGAGGAATAAGGGAGATCAGAATTTTCCTGGGGCCACACGCCCCCTGCCGGGAGTGGAGACCGGAGCTGGGGCGGACGGTAGCGCCCTGGAATGGAGGCCGAGGTCTCATTCTTCCGCGCCACCCCCTACTCTGAGTTCTTAACATCAAGATCGTTGGGCAATGACGGGTCATCTTGGACCCCAGTCTCCATCTCCGAGTCTCGTTTTGCCAGGATGGTGGAGGGAGGACTCTCCATCCCCGTCGTTTAGCCCAGGAGCCCGTCAGGAGTACAGCACCTCCCACCCCACCCCACTTCTTCATTGCAGGGTCTTTGAACCTCGCTGTTTCCTACGCTTTTGTTTTTGTTTTTTTAACAGCAGACTTTGCGAGATTAGGGGACAGGCTGTTTTCCTGCCCTGCTTCCGCAATTTGAATTTTTCTTTGAATTTTTCTCTGGAAAATGGGGCGCAGGAAGGAGAGGGGTTCCCGGAGCGTCCCTCAGCCCCCCTTTTCCGGAAATCGGTGGCGGAGGGTGGCTCTCTTGATCCCGATTTCTCTCTTCTTCATCTCAGAAACAGGGTGGAGCATCTGCTAGCCCGACCCCCTTCAGGGGTCTTGAGTGTGTTAGTCGCTCAATCGTGTCCAGTTCTTTGCAACCCCATGGACTATAGCCCACCAGGTTCCTCTGTCCATGGAATTATCCAGGCAAGAATACTGGAATGGGTAGCCATTCTCTTCGCCAGAGGATCTTCCCAACCCAGGGATCGAACCCAGGTCTCCCGCATTGCAGTCAGATTTTTTACCGTCTGAGCCACCAGGGTACATATCAGAAATGAGACGGGGTCTATCTTGATCCCTATTTCCGCTATTTCTTCTTTTATACTTACTTTGAACCCCGTAAATAGGAGATACGAAGTATTTTCTCGAACCTCGCTTACTCTTCCCTGAAATTGGGAATAGGGGGAGTTTAATGAGCGGTCACAGCACCTTGGACTGAACGGGGACCCCCTGAGTCTAAGACCTGGGGTGCGTGGGGGCAGGGAAGGGGAACGCCCCCAGAAGACTGAGGCTCTGTTGAGGCCTCAACCTCTGGGCCCTTCAATCGCCCGAAAACCACCATTGGACAGGAGGAGGGGGGTGGCAATCTTTGTTTGGCTACTTACCCCGTCGCTCGAGCACTTAAACCAGTGAGAAGGCGCTGCGAAGCCCCGCCTCTCTTATACTGAAGAGAGGCGGAGCCAGCAAGCGATTCCTCCCCTCCTGCACCGCTTCTGCTAGCTACTGGATGCGCTCTCTGGGCCCCGCCCCATTCTCGCGTCAATCTGTGCAAGAGCCCCGCCCCTCCCGGCTCTGCCTGCGACCGTAGACCATATCTCCACCCGTGGCTCCGCCCTAGAATGGCATCACGGCCTTATCTGCATGTGAGGCCCCGCCCCGCCCTTTGCAGGACGTCACCGAGGACTGCAGGGGCCTCAGCCGCTGCCGCCGCCTCCGCTGCAGCGCAGCCCCACATCAGCACACCGTGGGCCCCGTCACCGCCACTGCCAAAAAAGTCGCCGCCGCTAGGGTCGCCACAGCATCAGTGCAGAACAAGGTGAGCTCCCAGGCCTCCAGGTGAGCTTCCGCGCCGAGCACCTACATAACCTTCATTTGACTGATGGTCTGGTTGGGATAGGGGACGAAGTTGGCCCGCCTTAAATGAGACAGAAGGATGAGGCGGTCGCGAGCCTGGGGAGGGGGAGGGCCTCGGCTCCCTCTACCTGCCCTGTCCTCACCCCACCCCCATCCCTCCACCCCCGGCTCTGCGGTGGAGGGGGAGGGGAGATGAGGCGAGTGCCTTGCGGGAAGCTGTGCGCGCGGGAGGCTCAGTGCGTGCGCGTGCGCGTGAAGTGCACACGCGTGTGCGCGCCCGCCTGTGCAAGAGGGTCTGTGTGTACCCTTGCTGTTTACCAGGGTATGCTCGTGCATACCTTGGGGATCCCGACCCAAGATTGTGAGTGTTACAGGCATGTGGAGGCAGACGCGTGGACTGCGCGTGTGCGTGCACAACAGTGTGCCTATGTGCACAGAGATGTATGCCCGTGTGGGTGACGTGTACTGGGCTGCATGGGTAGAGGACGCATTGCGCACGGGTGGGTTTGCACATTTGTATATACATATTGGCGTGCAGATAGGTGTCTGTCTCTTTCCCGTGCACCGAGCGTGTCCCAGTGTGTGCCCTGCTGTGTGCACGTGAGCGTGTGCATGCCCCGTTCCTATCACGTGATATAGCTGTCACAGCTCGAGCTCTCCCAGCCTGGGAGTCTGGCAAAAGAACGGCAGAGACGCGTCTCCGCGGTACCGTACACGCGTGTGCACGTGCGCCCGCTCAGTTCTGAGGAACATGAATGATTGATGGGGGGCGGGGCCGGCCGCAGTTAGTCACTTCTCCTGGCGCAGCTGTAGAGCTTAGGTTACAACCGGGCCCGGGGCGCAGGCCTGATGGAGGGGGCTGCAAGTTGTCTCCATCCCCTTCGCTCTGAGGTCCTCCCCCGGAACCTCGGGCCTTTCAAGGTCACTGCCCGCCCTCTGCGGTGGGGCGCACCGTTAGTACTGGGGCTCCTGATGGGATAAGAGTAATCTCCGTCTCTCGCTGGAAGCTCTCTAGTCTGAGCCTGGGCGTTTGGGGACGGAGGGGGATCCCTCACCTTCGCCTACGCCCCGCACCCCCAGATGGCATCCGCCACAGACGCTCGCTATGGGCAGAAGGAATCTTCGGACCAGAACTTCGACTACATGTTCAAAATCCTCATCATCGGAAACAGCAGCGTGGGCAAGACATCTTTCCTCTTCCGCTACGCAGACGACTCCTTCACGCCTGCCTTTGTCAGCACTGTAGGCATCGACTTCAAGGTCAAGACCATCTACCGAAACGATAAGAGGATCAAGCTGCAGATCTGGGTGGGTCCAGCTGGGGGGCCTTCTGGCTCCATCATTCTCCCTCCCAGGGACAGCAGTCCCAGTTCTACCTATTTCTTTCCTGTCTAGATTCACTCATTACACACTGGGCATTTATGAGGCGCTTACTGTGTACCAAGGGCTAAACGCACAGAAGAGAGTGTCCCCTTTCTCCCACCAGTGCTCTCCAGGGGTGGGGAAGGGGTACATGCTGGGTCCTGTCCTACCCCTGACATCATCAGATGCATCACCTGCTGAGTGCCTCCGTTTCCCCATATTCAAGTTCCTCCACGAGTGTCTGGATGAGGTTTCAGAGGTCCAACCTCATTCCCTGGGCCAAGAGCAGTCTCCTCCACCAGGGTCTTCTGGCCACCTCCCTCAGCACCTCTGAGTCCTAAAGGAGTCTGATAAATCCCAAGCCAGAGCTTGTTGTTCCCTGCCCACAGTCCTTCCATGGCTCCCACCTCACTCTTGGTAACGCCTGCAACCTTCCCCTGGCTGAGGAGACCCTGCTACCTGGTCAGCCCCTGTTGATACCTCATCTGTCTCCCTCCATCTCCACCTCAGCCTCTTCATTGTTCCTCAAATGTACCAGACCCAGTCCCACTTCAGGGCGTTTGCTAGACTTCCCTTCCCCTGACCCTCATATGACTCCCTCCCTCATCCTTCAAGTTTTTAAATTGTCCCCCAACCCACACTGCCCGTCCTTGCCTGGTTTTTTTCCCCTTCTCCTGTCTCATTACTTTCTGACGATACATTTCCGTGATCTGAGGATACATTTTCTTTCTTGTCATGATGGGTTGATTCTCTGTTTTCCTGCACAGAGCTGTCAGTTCCAAAAGGGCAGTGATTTTGGCCCATTTTGTTAACAGCTGTGTACTCAGTGCCCAGCACGCACAGGTCCATGTGTGTCAAATGCATGAAGGAATGATGCTGTAGGTACCTTGGGATCACTGATACTGCATTCCCTGGGACAGGCAGCTGAATCACCCTTCCTGACCCACTGTGCCTCTGGGCATGCCCCTGCTCCTCTGAACCTCAAGGGGGCTGGACTCCACCATCTCAGAGTTCATTCCCATGCTGAGGAACTTACATGTATCTCCTCTCTGACACCCCACCTCTTCTTCCCAGGACACAGCGGGGCAAGAGCGGTACCGGACCATCACGACAGCCTACTACCGGGGCGCCATGGGCTTCATCCTCATGTACGACATCACCAATGAGGAGTCCTTCAATGCGGTGCAGGACTGGTACGTGCGCCCCTACCCGCCCTCTTCTGAGCCAGGCTTCGTGCAAAGCCTGGGGTACAGGCCGAGATGAGAGAGTCCCAGCCCCTTGGCAGAAATGTAAATAACAATATTGGGGTCTCATCTATACTATCAATCTATAATCATTAAAACAATGTGGCATCAGCTCAAAATAATGTGAAAGAAAGATTTTAGGTAGGAAAATGAAACTACAAACATAAAAGGAAAAAAAAAGGTCTGGGAGGGACAGAAAATATAAAGATAGCTTGCAAGTTTTGAAGGTATAAACATTTACATTTTCTGCTGAGAGTAATGATAACTTTTGAGAAACTGTTTGAATTTGTTCAAGAGGGAGAATTCTCCTCTGGGGGTTGGGGGATCTGGGAAGGGTGGGAAAGACTTCTTGAAAGAGGGACTCTCAAGTTCACGAACTGTGGGAGCAGGCGCCTGCAGAGAGAAGTGTTCCTGGTAGGACAAAGGCAGGAGGAGAGACTGAGCCTGCCTTCCTCAAGAATTAATGGGACAGGATTTCCCTGGTGGTTCAGTGGTCTTCCCTGGTGGCTCAGATGGTAAAGAATCTGCCTGCAATGCAGGAGACCCAGGTTCCATCCCTGGGTTGGGAAGATCCCCTGGAGAAGGGAATGGCTACCTACTCCAGTATTTTTGCCTGGAGAATTCCATGGACAGAGTAGCCTGGTGGGCTACAGTCCATGGGGTCACTAAGAGTCAGGCATGACTAAGCGACTAACACTTTCACTTTCCAGTGGCTAAGACTTTGCACTCCCAAGGCAGGGGGCCCAGGTTCCATCCCTGGTCAGGGAACTAGATCCCACATCCCGCAAGGAAGATCAAAGATCCTGCGTGCCGCAGCTAAGACCTAGCAGAGCCAAAGAAATAAATATTAAAAGTAGAGAATTAATGGGGGTGGGGGGCTTGAGTAGGATGAGTGACAAGGAGATGGGGGAGGGTGGTGGTGCTCAGATTCTCCAAGCCCTAACCTTCCTCTGTCACTACCTCCTCCAGGTCAACCCAGATCAAGACCTACTCATGGGACAATGCCCAGGTGCTGCTGGTAGGGAACAAGTGTGACATGGAGGATGAGCGGGTTGTGTCGTCGGAACGTGGTCGACAACTGGCAGACCACCTGGGTGAGTACCCAGTGACGCTGGACATTGCAGGCCAGGAAAGGGACACTGAGGCCCTGAAGGGGGAAGACACACACCCAAGGTCTCACAGCTAAGCCACGATGTGGCCTGGATGTGAATCCCGATAATTCATACTCTCTGCGAGCTGGCCTTTGATCCAGGGGCCATTTCGGGTGGATCTTGAGGGATGTTTAGGAGTTCACTCTGCAAGAAGTTAATGATTCATTCTGATACTGTCACTGCACAGCCTAGTGCTGGGTGTTGCTGGGCCCCTGAGAGGCCTCCAGATTTGTGAGAGAGGGAGGGATCTGGGCTGGCAGAACAAGCAAGGAGCCAGGCTCTGCCTGGCATAAGTAAGGCTTCCTGGAAGTGGGGCATTGGAACTGGTATTTGAAGAAAAAAGGTGATCTTTCAGACAGAAGAAACAGCGTGACCAAATGTGGGAAAGATCTTTTTGGCAAATAGTTTTACATGACTGGAAAACGGGGATCACTTGGAGGAAATATGGTTGATCATGCAGGACCTGAACTACACACTGGGGAGTCAGACTCTTCAGAGGGCAGTAGGAAGCCACGGAGTGTGTGTGAGCAGGAAAGGCCTGGATCTGTGTCAGATGCTGCCAGGACCAGGACTGGGCCGGATGGTGGGAGCAGGGAATTAGCCCATCACCCTATTTATTATCGTAGCTATTTATTTCCTGGAGATGTCCCCCAGGGGCTTGGGCACCCCCTTGTTCTGTGCAGGGGCTCTGGGGACAATGAGAGTAGGAGGGTTTTAGGGTGAAGAAAGGAGTCTAGGAAATAAAGGCTGACTCAGTCCACCGTTGCTTCACCATGGGACTTCTCCATGCCTTTAACATGCATCTGGCACTGGGAAACTCCAGGTGTTACCTGTCCTCAGCAAAGTGTGTCTGGGCGTGGGGGGTCCAGCGTCCTCACCCCTCCCTTCCCTGACCACAGGGTTCGAGTTCTTTGAGGCAAGCGCCAAGGACAACATTAATGTCAAACAGACCTTTGAGCGCCTTGTGGATGTCATCTGCGAGAAGATGTCTGAGTCATTGGACACGGCCGATCCTGCAGTCACGGGCGCCAAGCAGGGCCCACAGCTCACGGATCAGCAGGCGCCTCCTCATCAGGACTGCGCCTGCTGAGCGCTGCCCTGCCCCGCCCCATCCTGGCCCCGCCCCTGCCCGCCCCCTGGGCCTGAGCCCGCGCCCCTAGTGGCTGTGGGCGTGAGTCCCCTGACCCGACTTAGCCCATCACCCTATTTATTATCGTAGCTATTTATTTATTTATTGGAGATGTCCCCCAGGGGCTTGGGCACCCCCCTCCTCCGCATCCCACCCTGTACATACAGCCCTGTTCTCGCTCTGCAGTGGCGTGTCGTGGCCCCGTGAACTCACCGCTCACTCTTCCCTCCAGACCCCACCTTTTTATAAATTCACCCCCATCAACAGTTATCAGTTTTGAAGAGGGGGCCAGATGACACCCCAGGGCAGGCTGGTTGGGTGATGGGAGGTAGCCAGCCTCCTGGCTGTGGCATGGTGGGTCCAGGTGGCTGCAGGCATCTCAACGTGGACCACTGGGTGGGTCAGAGCCAGGAAATGGCCCACCTGGCTCTTGGCCCCCAAGGTTGTACCTTTTATGGGAGCAGGGTGGGGGGGGGGGCTGCTGCAGATATGCACCACCCTGGGATACCACTCCCCACCAGACCTATTCTGACGTCATTAGTGTCAAACATGCCCCCCAGCCCCCCAGGAGATGTCATGACAACACTACACACACCCAATAAAGTGAATGGATGACACAATGTCCCTATCAGTGCCAGCCTGATAATGCTGGCTCTGTTCATCCACAATATTTTCAATTACAAAGAAAATTTAATGGTACTTCCACAGTCCGTGACTAGAGGATGAGACTGGAGACTCCAAATTCTGGGGCCCGGCTCCAAAGGGATGGGTGATACCCCCACCTTAGTCCCAGCGCCCAGCCTACAGTAGTGTTGAGGGCTTGGTGCTAGCTGGCTGGCTGAGACCCAGAGCTGAGGATGGCCCATCATGAGTCACTTGAAGCTGTCCCAGAAAGGCTGAGGTACAACTGTCCATCTTCATGGTTGTGTTCCAGAGGGAGGAACTGAGGCCTGGCAGTGGGCTTGTTAGGGGCAGCCCAAGCAGATGCCCAGGAGTCAGGGTGCGGCTAGGACTTGGCCTAGGAGTCGGTTCCCCTTCCTGCCCAGGTGGCTGGTCGGCGGAGGCTCAGTCAGTCTTGCCTTGCTGTCTGGCATCTGGGGGCTCAGTCTGCATGGTGCCGAGGGCCACACAGCCTGGGGGTGTCAAGGGGACTGGGATCTGACCGCACAAGAGAATCTGGTTACATGTGCTGTTCCCCCACCTAGGCACCCCACTGAGCCCTCCTCACTGGACAGATGCGGGCTTGGTCCTCACCTTGTTGGTGATCAGCAACCTGCCCACCCACCACGGGGTGCGGGCAGACTGTCACTGGCACAGGCAGCCCTCACCCTGAAGGGTAGCTGTACTGCCATTTGGGGCTCTCACATGCGGCGCCCCCCCCCCCCCCCCACCAGAAGCCCCCTGGGTGCCCACTGCACTCACCCGGTATTTCAGGTAGGAGAGGTAGGTGTCCCACCCTAGCGTCAGGCCGTTGATGTAGGTGACTCGGAACTGGGGGGGCACGAATAGGAAATTCACCAGCTGCGCAACAGGCCACACGCACCAGTCAGCCTATCGGGAGGGGCGGAATGTAGTGAGGGGCGGAGCCAGGAGGGACTTGGGTGGGGCCTGAAAGGAGGGAAGCAAGATGAAAGCGGGTGGAGGTGAAGGGGTAGGCGGGGCCTGGGCAGGCATGCCCACCTTGTAGAATTCCCAGAACTTGTCCCGCAGCTCCTGACAGCTGTCGTCCAGGGTCTGGCCCTCCAGGCAGCCAAGGCCTAGGAAGGAAACCAAGAAATGAGAGTGTCAGGGGCTGGGGAGTATGGAGTACAGTGGTAAAGAGGATGGGGTAGGACCCCCGAGGAACAGCTTCGCCGATGGCTCAGCAGGTGAAGAATCCACCTGCAGTGTAGGAGACACAGGAGACTCGGGTTTCATCCCTGGGTCAGGAAGATCCCCTGGAGAAGGAAATGGGAACCCACTCCAGGATTGCTTGAAAAATACCATGGGGAGGAGCCTGGCAGGCTACAGTCCACAGGGTCGCAAAGAGTTGGACACAACTGAGCGACTAACCACCACCCCAGGCACCGGAACAGTGTCCCAAGCAGAGGAACCGGGATATTTAAAGGCCTTGCAGTGGGAAGTGGGGCACAGCAGGGAGGCTGAAACGGGTAAACAAGAAGTGAGAGGTCTGTCGTGTATACACTCGTACCATGCGGGGTGGTGACACATCCTTGCTGAGGCGGTTTTATTACCAGTCCGGTACCTTCCTTTACCTTTACAGATAATGAAATGAAACTGACCCTGGGTGGCAAGGAATGAACAGCTCTCCAGAGCCAAGGGTTAGGATGATTGTGCCCTGTCAACCTCAGTCTCAGTTCACCTTCCTCCAGCCTCAGGGCCTTTGCACCAGCTGTCCTCCCCCTCCGCCCCATCCCCACTCCCGGCCCGCTGGCTCCTTCTTCATGTCTCATCTCAGCATCTTCTTGGAGAAGTTCTCTCAACCATCATCCAGGGCAGCCCCATCAGACACCGTCTTCATCCTTCCTACACGTAGCACCACTGTCTGTGATTCTGCCATTCACACCTGACTCCATTGGGTCTGTCCTGTCACCACTGTACCCCAGCCTCCAGTCCCGGGCCACCCACATAGGAGGTACATCAATAACACATCTCCACATTCTGGACACAAAACTGGCTCTACCCCCCCACCCCGACCCCCCGATCCAGAAGGGACCAAGCCCAAGTTCACAGAACTCCTTACCCAAGAAGTACCAGACGCCAAGCATAGGAGAAGCCACCAGTTGGTCAATGAGGACCTTCTTGAGGACGTTTGGGAGGCCAGGGAAGCCGGATGCAGGGAGCAGGCGGTCCAGCCAGAGATACCAATAGTGCAGGAAGGGGCCCATGCTGCAGCCGACTGCAAACATGCTCGCTGTGGACAGTCCAAGAGTTAAGGGGGGCACGTTAGGCCAGCAACCTTCCCCCCCAATCCACTCCCTCCCTGGCTAAGACCTGGGTAAGCCGGACACCCCTCCAGGGCAGAACCAAATATTCTTTCATTACTAGCTCCACCGCCAGGTACCATTCCAAGAGGTGCTTTTGCATCTTCTTCCCTCATTCCCTCACTACCCTATCAAAGGGTACTACCATCGCCCCGCTTTCCGAAGGAGGAAACAGAGGCACAGCTGATAGGGAAGTGTGGGACCAGGGTGCGACCCAAGGCTGGCTGGCAGCCAGACGCTGTGCCTTTGACTACCCCGGGTGCAGCATATCGTGTTCAATGCTAAGTCTGTCAGTGCAAGAGAAAGGGTAGCAGATCAGGGGGTGGGCGAGGACCTGACCGTCAGGACGGCAGCGGACAGAAACCCTACGTATTGGAGATGAGATGAAGACTCGAGGGGGAAGGGACGCAGAGAACGGGGAGGGGGTGTCTAGGGTGCACGATGAGGTCAAGGGTCTTGCCAGGAACTGAGGTAACGGGACATGGTCACGGAGCTCAGGTCCGGTTCACAGGTCTCCGGATCTGAAGTTGGGGGCAAAGAGCTCCTGGGGTGAAAAGCCAGCAGCACCGGTCCCCTTACCTGAGCGCCGGGGGTCGAACTTCTGGCCGGGCCGGGCGCGAATCTCCCAGGACTGGCGCGCCCCATCCCCGGCCGCCATGAGAACGCCGCATCCCAGGGTGTTGGTGACGAGCAACGCACGACCTTGGAACAGGGGCTGACCGGCAGCCCAAAGGCCGCGCAGCCAGCGCCAGCCGCCGGACGGCATCGTCCGCCGGACACAGGAACCGGCACAGCGGACCGCCCCGGCCATGCCGGCCAATCCCAAGTACCCCGCGCTGTGGTACCCAATCGAACACTGCCTTCGTGATTTGTATGCCCGCCCCAAATCGCTCCAGTCAATCGCCGACTGCTTCGAAGCCTCACACCGCCTTCTGCGCCTTACGAACCAATCACACAAGGCTTCGCGTCACACCGCGCACGCCAATTACTGTCGTTCCACCCTTGTTTCCCCGCCCCTTTCTGCTCTGGCCTGTGTGTAGCCGTAGTCATACTCTTATTTGACCGCCAACTTCACTGACCAATCACTGACTTCAGGCTGGAAAAATCACAAACTGTTGTCCTGCCTCCCGCGTTGAGATGGCCAATCTACGGCAGTTACCGAGTTCTCCCGTGTAAATTGCCCCCCAGATTTCCAGATTCTCCGGCAATTCCTGAAAAGTGATGGCTACCGGGGCGGAAATCCAGTCCCGCAGAGATTCGGGGACGCGGAGGCGGGGCTCCAGTTCTGCTGCGCGCGCAGGCTGCCGGGATCAGTTCTGCTGCGCGCGCAGGCTGCCGGGATCAGTTCTGCTGCGCGCTCAGGCTGCCGGGATCAGTTCTGCTGCGCGCGCAGGCTGCCAGGATCAGTTCTGCTGCGCGAGCAGGCTGCGCGGATTCCTGTCTGGGCGTTGACCTTGGTGCTGACTACTGCTGGGCGTCTGACCTAAGTTCCACAATACTACTACTTAAAACGCTACGCACTGTTCTGGGCACATGACATGCTTTAAGAAATTTGACAGCAACTTTGCGTTGCTGCAGTGATAATTGTATCACCATATTACCTCCTATTTTCCTGTAGGGGAAAATCTGTGTCTCAGTGGAAATCTGCATTACTTACAGGAGCAGGGTGTCTGGAGCCTGTGGGCCGAATTCTGTCACCACCTGTTTTGGTGAGGTTCAAGAGCTAAGAATTTTCTTAATTTTTTTGATTGGTTGATGAAAAAAATCCAGGTACTGTTCTGGGACGTGTGAGAATTGTATGAAATTCCGATTTTCGAATCCCTAAATAAAGATATATTGGAACACAGTCATGCCCATTTGTTTTTTTCTTAATTGTCTACTCTCAACTACAATGAGTAGTAGCAACAAAGATTGTATGGTCTACAAAAACTAAACTGTTTTACTCTTTACAAAAGAAATGTTTTTGATTTGTTTTGTTTGCTCTTTGTTAGAGGACACTCTTCAGTTTTTGATTTTGATTCTATGACAGAGAATTTATAAACCCTGTGGTTATAACTGAGAACACCAAAAAGTAATTCTTACTTATAGACATGCAAATGAATTCTGCCAAGTAAAGAGACTCTCACCCCCCCCCCCTTTTTTTTGCTTTTATTTGCTCGTTCATTTTACACTTCCTGTTCTGTTTCTTTTTTGGAACTTCTCTGAAATGGTTTTAATGCCTGACAAGTTCCCTTTATTAATAACGAGTTAACAGTAGTTTCTAACACATGCTCATTTTTATACCTGTATGAGAGGTGTGATTTTAACTTTTTGGGAAAGATGATCCTTCAAACACTTCCTATTGCTGTCAAGTACCTCATTCTGGTATTCCAGGCTCCAGATTTTACTGCATTTTGGTGGAAAAGCTTCAGAATGGTTTAAAGAGGGGAAAGTCAAGTTATGGTTCACAAAACACAGTCAGAAAACTTTATCCATGGGAAAGTACATTTCATGGTAGCTGAAGCCCTGGCAACTCCAAATAAGTAAGAGAATTTTGCTGTTTCTCTATTTTTCTCATTTCTGTTTTCCTTCCTCTAAAATATGATTTTGATGCCTTTGAAACAGGAGGGAAGGAGGCATAGCACAACCTTTGAAAGAATGACATAGCCCAAGGATACAACATAAACTGATTAGAACCAAATGGGTTCAAGATGGTGGACAAGACAACTTCTACTAGACCTTGAGCCTCAGTATATGCTCACTATAGTGAGCAAGCTAAGTGACACGGCTATAGGCACCATGACAGTTCTAAGGCAAACCAAAGATCAGAACGTGGGCAGTGGCCCAATTCCTAGAAATTTCTGCCCACTTCCCTAAAATAGTTGAAATAACCCTCCTGTTTATTAGTTTATGAAATTACCCAACCCATAAAAGCTAATCACAGTACACTTGAGGCTGCACTCACCTTCTGCATCCCACACTCTTGGTGGAGTGTTTCTCACTCTTGGCTTCTGAGATGGCCTACAGTCTGTCTGTGGAGTGTTTCTCTCTGGGTAGAGCCACTTCTTACCTATCACTTTGTCTCTCACTGACTTCTTTCTGCAATAAGACATCAAGAACCTGAGCTTCATTAGGTCCTGAAACCAGTCACTGTGGGTTTTGGCTGGGTCTGTGTCCCAGCCCCTTGGGTTTAAGTCCCAAGCAGGATTTTGGCTGAGTTCAAGTCCTGGCACATGGGTTCAAGTCTCAGTCTGAAGTAAATGGTTTTAGCTGGCAACCATAAAGGGACAGTGAAAAGGTAAGAATAGGTTTAGAGTTAGGCCTTGGTCCTATAGAGGCCCTTGGGAAACCATGAGCCAAGCATATGGGAGAGGACCTTTTACGGTTGTCTGCTCATTTCCCCACCCCGCCCCCAACTCTAATTCTAGGTTTATTCAACACAATTACTTTACTCTACACAACAAAATACTAACACAACATTATCTCAAATGCTAATGACTAGTGAAAGTCGCTGAGTCGTGTCAACTCTTTGGGACTCCAGGCCAGAATACTGAAGTGGGTAGCCTTTCCCTTCTCCAGGGGATCTTCCGGTTGGGATCAAACCCAGGTCTCCCACATTGCAGGCAGATTCTTTATCAGCTGAGCCACAAAGGAATCTCAAATACTACAAAGTTACAAAACTCAAAACCAAGAATTTATAGTACAATAAAGCCACCAGGGCTTTCCTGGTGGCTGAAAGAGTAAAGAATCTACCTGCAATGTAGGTGACGTGAATTCAATCCCTGGGTCAGGAATTTCCCCTGGAGAAGGGAATGGCTTCCCAACTCCAGCATTCTTGCCTGGAGAATGCCATGGACAGAAGAGCCTGGTGGGCTACAGTCCATGAGATTGCAAAGAGTCAGATGCAGCTGAGCGACTAAACATGCACACACGTATAATAAACATCAAAAAAAGCAATGGACACGTTGCCAAGGTAACCTTCACCACTGCCATGAATACCAACACAATGAGGGTTTCAGTGATGATCTAGATTTAAACTCATAGTTTCAGAGAGGGTGGAAACGTGTGCGTGCACGCACACGCACGGGCACATCCACACATGCACATGAGTACACGGGAAAAGAACTCTTGGGGCAGATAACATCTGTTCACTTTTAACCTGGTGGATAAAATCCATATGCTTTTGCACATCTGTGAAATATTTCCTGCCGTAGGGCAAGAAATGCCACAGCTATCCAATATTCTGAATTTCTGAGCCATGTGGACAAGGGCAAGTTCCCTATACAAAGAACTTGAGGACGTCACAGTCATCATGACTACAGCCCTTCAGTGTGACCTAAGGGAATTCAAGAAGAGAATACTGCTTTAAAAATGCAGGATGCTGGCCCCAGATAGCTGAGATACAAATGAAAGGGTTGACGTCAATAATCCCAGACTCTTGCATCTTTCCTTGCATAGAACTCTACATTCCTTAACTTGATATCTGGTTTTCCATATTTAACAATAATCTCTGATGGTCAGGCTGCTTGCCCCCATTGTTGCAAACTTGTAAATAGCCTGACTCCCTCTCCTGCCTGCTTGGAGCAGTTTTACTGGGCTACTAAAATCCTACCTCTTGGGCTTGGAGTTCTTAACATTCCCACAAAATAAAATAACTCTCTACTTTCAGGCTGTGACTGTTTTTCTTAGTCTACACATCCAACAGCAGGTCTAGGACAGAATTGGTAATATCTACACTCTTCTCCTTGACCCTTAGATTGCTCTCCTACGTTCTTGCTTTCTTATTCACTCCTGCCCCACTTCTTTTTTCCTTCTGTTAACCCCAGAACACCTGTGTGACCACCAAGGTGGACTGTTCTTGCTTTTGCTCCTCTCCCTCTGACCCTTACCAGTGCCGACTCTTTGTTGTTGTCGTTCAGCTGTTCAGTCATGTCCGAATCTTTGCCAACCCATGGATGGCAGTACGCTAGGCTTCCCTGTCCTTCACCATCTCCCGGAGTCTGCTTGTTGTAGCCACGCGTTCCGGGAAACGAACTCACTCAGAAGGACAATGCAGAAAATGGAGTGCAGTTTATTACATCAGCGGGCCCAAGGCAGAGTCTCCTCTTAGCCAAGGACCCCGCCCAGTTTTTGTGAAAACTTTATGTACCCTATGTGTACCTGCCCAAACCCACCTCCCCAAATTCCCTGAAACTAGACTGAACAAAGGAAAAAGAAAGATACAATCAAAGTTAACCTGTGATTCATATGCCTTAAGCCTAGGTAGTTAACAGTGGACAGTTATCAATAGCCCTATGGTCATACCCCAATAAGCATAATAGAATGTATGATTCTATTCAGTTACACAGGTGATTAGGGCATTCTTCTAGGTGATGGAGAGCCCTGGGGCTCTTCCTTCCAGGGGCACGGTTTTCCAATTGGTATGTCATTTCCATAGATACAGGGCATAGAGCTCAAAGTCCACAGTCCGGCCCAAGATGGAGTCCTGCTTTCAAGACAGAGCCTGTTCTGTTTCCTCCTTCATGCTCAGACTTATGTCCATTTTGTTGATGATGTCATCCAACCACCTCATCCGCTGTTGCCCCCTTCTCCTCCTGCCCTCAATCTTTCCCAGCATCAGTCTTTTCCAATGAGTCAGCTCTTTGCATGAGGTGGCCAAAGTATTGGAGCTTCAGCTTCAGCATAGTCCTTCCAATGAGTATTCAGGGTTGATTTCCTTTAGGATTTACTGGTTTGATCTCCTTGCTGGCCAAGGAATTCTCAAGAGTCTTCTCCAGCATCACTGTT